TTTTTTTTTTATCTACCAAAAACATCCTTTTTTTTTTTATTTTCATCGTGTTAATTAATTTTTTTTTGCACTTTGTCGTTTCATTCTAATTTGTAGGTAGGTACCTGGAATTCAATTTTTTTTTCCATCATTACTGGAAATATTCAACATAACTTGGATAGCCCGCTGTCAAAAACATCTCTGGTGGGAAGGAAGCTCCGAGTCGCCGTTGTATTGGTAATGAGGCTCATAGTCAGATATATTTATTATGAACGGTTGGGAGATAATAACGAGACCAGTTTATTACGGTTTATTATAGAGGCCCAAATTTGCTTATTTAATTACCGCATGTAACTGTCTTAATTTTTTTTTTAGCCATAGAGGGACGTTTGCCCATTCGTTGTGAACATTCAAGCAAGTATTTTTTTTTAAGGTTGATGGCTTGAAAATTGGCTGAGGGAGAGGGTTTTTGTTTTGTTTTTTTTTTTTTTTACCAATGTGCTGAAAGGACACGATTTGCAGCTCAATGGTTAGCTTTTTTTTTAGGTTGAAAACCAGCGCCGTATCACCAGCATTACCACGATTTTCCTTTCCTCCTGAATTAAAGCAAGTAACACCTGATCCTTAGGAATACAACATCTTTTGTTATTTTTTTTTTCAAATGCGATATAAACTAGTATTACTTGAGGTCATGTTTTTTTTTTTTTTTTTTTTTTTTTATTTATTTTATTTATTTTCCTTTTTCTGATATATTAACATTTTATCGATAGTTCAATGTACGAGATGACCTCTAGATAGAAACCACTAGGCTAATAGTTGAGGCCACCACTTACGTAACAATATGCATGCTTACATAGATAGTGCAACAAGTGTGCGGCTTTGTCAATTCAGTAATTATTTTACCAAAAACTCAAACACTCTTTTCTTAAAGTTGTTTTTTTTTGACAGAGAAGTGATTGTAACAAGAAGGGAATTTCAGATCTTTGAACCTCGGTAAAGAACTATAAATATTTTCAGATTAGTTCGGCAATGATGCACGCGATAATGTAGGAAGTCTGAGGCACTAGACGGAAAGAAAATTACAATAAGACAAACTTGTGAGTCTAGATGACAGTCTATTCGCTTTGACAACGCGTTGATTTGAAGCCTAGATATCGCAACCGATGATTGTATTGAGATTCATCATCATCGACAACAGTGATAGAAGATAAGTTATTATTTTTTTTTTAATTACCGTTTTCTTGTCGTGCCACCAGGAAAGTCCCTATGTAATGAAAAGAAAGAAACATAGCGAATTATTTTACGAAGGATACTGCATTGATTTTCTAAAAGAGCTTGCAAGAAATCTCAAATTTACATATGAAATCTACACCACTCCTGACGGGAAATATTTTTTTTTGATGGAAGACGGAACTTGGAATGGGGTTGTCGGTGAGATTTTAAATAATTTTTTTTTTAAAATTTCCAACTTGATTCGCTTCACTGATATGCTGGAACACTATCTTTTTTTTTTCTCGGTGAGTTCCAAGAAAACCCAAAGTAGATTTTTTTAAAACCTACAAATCTTTCGGGTGTCCTGACAACTCACCTCGACATAAATACACACGTTATCACACACAAGTACTTTATTTTGTAAAGCGAGTAAGAAGAATAGAAGAATGGATTGCTTTGACCATATTACAACAATTTTTGTTCGAAATATTCCTTCTAAAAGCCTTACTACGAACTGATGTTTTTTTTTAAAGGATGCAATGATTATATTCTTGATTAAAGAAAGATCTATGCAAGCAATGGAGTTAAGATATCTAGCTCATCGGGAAAGAGGTAGTCCTCTTTCAACAATTCATAAAAGAGGTTGTTCTTTTATATTTAAAGCGAGCAGATATGGCTCTTGCCGCCCTCACCATGACTGAAAGGCGAGAGAAAGTCATGGATTTCAGCGTACCCTTTATGCACTTCATTTTTTTTTTATTATTGAACAAGGCATCGTCAGAAGAAGAACATGAGTTTTTGCAGTTCATGGATCCGTTTGATAGGCAAGTTTGGTTCGCTAATTTGGCCACCCTGGTGATCAGCTCTATTGCCGTGTTTGTAATAAACTATTACAGTCCTTATGGATGTAAAGATGATAATGGAAGAGGCACATCAAAAGAGTTTAGCTTTTTCAACAGTGTGTGGTTTGCTTTAGCTTGTATGCTGCAACAGGGAGGAGATAACTCACCAAAAAGCCTTTCAGGTGGAGTAAAACAAACTCTTAGATATCCGAGTGTTTTACTGAAATGTGATGGCATTCTGGCTCCAACTGTTTTTGTTGCGTTACCTTAAAATTACTAGTTAATAAATGTACCCTGGCGAAAGTGTCCGTTAAGCGTCAAAAGCTAAAAATATTGTAGTTATTATCTAAAAATTTGTCACATTTTTTTTTTGGTAATCTTCGGTATAAAGCACCTCCAGGAGAGAACTGGGAGTAAGGTTTTTTTTTTTGAAATCCATTAATTACGCTGGGCCATAGACCTGTGGCCTTCCTAAAATCCATGCATTAAGCCTGGTGATTTTACTTCAAGTATTTGTAAACTTCTTAGGTCGTTTTTTTTTTGGTTGCTATTGGTTCTCCATACTGATCTGCGTCTCAACATACACCGCTTTTTTTTTTGCATTTTTCACGGTGAAGAACGCGGTGCATCCCATTCAAAACCTTGAATTTTTTTTTAAATCATCTTACTCCGTGGCAGTGCTTAACTCATCCAGTATGTCAGAGTTTTTTTTTAGTAGTGACTACGAAACACACAAAAAAATCTGGCTTAAGATTCAATCCGATGGCACACTGGTTAAAACCATTGCACAGGGCGTTCAATGGGTGAGAGAAAAAGAAAATTTCGCGCTTATAACCGACGGGCCTTGCCTTAGAAAGATCGCCAGCAAGCCACCCTTTTTTTTTGAAGTAGGTAACTACTGAAATAGCTGCAAGGTTACATGCAGGGTCTGTTTTTTTTTTTGGTAATGAACGTTTACTGTCATCAACCTTTTGCAGGAGTCGATTATAGGCCAGTATTTCCAGAGTACAACAACAACAAAAATACTAACCACACTAACAATACAATTTTTTTTTAGACGAAACAAATGACAAAGGAAATTTCTGATTTCAAAACATCTCCTATTTTTTTTTCTAGCTTAATATTGCGATTGGCGTAAAAGATCATTGACATAATCTGATTTTTTTTTTAGTACCAGGCTTAAGCACGGCTAGAGGATTCGCACTTGCCTTTCAATCCAATGATCACCACGTGAGTGACTTCAGTCTAACCATTCTGCGTCTTCATGAAAACGATTTTCTTGCCAGCTTGGAGCGGAAATGGTGGGAAAGCGATAGTGGCTGTTTGGTAGATTTTTTTTTATGTACGTTGTGTCATTTAGATAGGGCTTTTGATGCTCTTTGGGTTATAATAAAACGATTTATGCTCTTGCCAGTTTCTTCATAGAGGTGAACTAGGTCAACTTTTTTTTTTTTAAAAACTTTTTTTTTGGTTAAACATCTGATTCTTGGATAAGTAAGGAATCGAAGATCCGCAATTCATCGAGGGTCTTCAATTTCCAGAAATTTCCATGACATAATTTTTTTTTTGAAACGCCCTAAAAAAAATTAGCAACTGATAAGATAATCTTTAAATGTTTTTTTTTTGGGTTCTCTTCTTTTGCAAGTGGTGTGGACCATTCAGTTGCAAGTGGGTGAAGCTAAGAATTTATTATTTGCTCCAAAATGCCTCAAAACAGCTGCTAATCAAGATTTTTTTTTCATTGAATCGACAATTTCCATAGCATATGGATGGAGTTGTAAAACGTTTTTTTTTTTTCGTGCAAATCTGGTGGGTTTTTTTTTTTTTTTTTTTTTTTTTTTTTTTTTTTTTTTATTTTTAGCGTTGTCTCAGAAGCAAATTGATCTGAAGAGTATGGTGGGTTTTTTTTTGGTCCTCCTTGTTGGAATGGTGATCGCTTTCCTGACGTTGCTCGCTGAAATTTACTGGAAAAGGAGATCTAAACAAGGTTTGTGCCAAGGAATCAGTGAGTGCCACCCTGTTCTTGGTAGTTGCCTCTTACGGGCGATTATCTTATCTAGTAATAGAGATTGCTGGAACTAGGCACGAACATTGTTTCTATGGATGAAAGTATCACCTTGAAACGAAAATTTATGAAGCCAATGACTCAAAAGCAGCTCACATTTTTTTTTTCGTTTCTTCCGGAGTTTTTTTTTTCGCTCCGTGAACGTTCAGCGCTAAAGATCTGAGCCTAGTTGTTCAAAACAAGATTAACCTAACCCGGGGGTTAGCGTAAATTTTAATTTACTTCGACAGCTCTATTTTTTTTTTTTTCTTTTGTATTTTCTCCAGTTAGTTTCGAGTCTTATTGAGAGAAGTTTTTTTTTAGCCTTGGCTCTCATACGCGCTCTTCTACATGAGAAATTAAAGCCAAGTTTTTTTTTTCAATTTCAGATTAACACCAACCCCGTTTCGAACCCAGCCCTACTCAACTGACTTCAACTTATAATTCTTGGGTCTAAGTATCTCATTACAATGTAAAGAATATCTTTTTTTTTTTCTGCTTCGGTCAGTATTCTACTAATTGTAATTAATCTTTGTAAATATTTTTTTTTACGAAGTGAAACAGAAAGACTCAAAGTAAAGAGGAACTCTACCCAGTCTTTTTTTTTGGCAGGATCAACCTCTGTTGTTTGCCGAGCTATAAGACCTCTTTCGCTTTTTTTTTTATCTTTATTTTGAGTATGATTTAGTGGAGCCCAAGGAGGGTAAACATCGCAGTTAAAAATGCGACATAAATTTAAGCTATGAAACCCAAGATTTAGTAAAATAAAAGAGATAACCAGCTAAAGCAGCTCTTGATTGTTAAACAAATTCTCCTTGTCAGCACCTTTTTTTTTGTATAGAGAACAGTAAGGAGAATATGCATTCTGATTTTAAGGTGTTGATTTTTTTTTGTGAGCAATAAACATGTTTATTACAACTCAAACCATTTGCTGTAATACTTTTATTGACCTTTGCAATGGAGAATGATGGCTTCAAACTGAAGGAAAACAATGAGCTTACAAAAATAGTCAACGGCAAGGGGAGAGTGAGACCATGAACAATTAGCAAAAAATTAAAAAAAAAAAGGAATACTAGAATCTAGAATCTATTTGTGGTCCATTTAGTGTTACATTTTTGCCAAATAATATTTGCATGCAATAATCAAATGCTTTCTTCCTCATCATAAAGGAAAATCACTGTACCGTATGTCATTGGCAGATAAACAGGAAAAAGCCTCGTTTCATTTTTTTTTGGCAAAGACAGTCATTGAACACTGAATACTCCTTATACTCTATTTATCATATACATGTGGCTCTATGCATTGGTTATTGCCCCTTCACTCTTCTGTATCTTCTGGTTTTTTTTTTTCTCGTGAATGCTTCAGTTTCTCTGTTAAGATGCCAGGCTTCTTCTTTTTTTTTTTTTTTCTCCACAGCACTATCTCCTATAACCAAAACACATTAACATTGAATTTTTTTTTATCCTCCCTAATGACAATACATTAAATTAAGCTGAATGCCACTGAGCCTTTTTTTTTATCACGTGCACACGCCAGAGTGTTATACCTGCTGTTTGAAGTATCTTCTTTCCTCTTCATCAACAAGGACAAGATTTAAGAAGTACCGCACAGAAAACTTCTTGTTTTTTTTTTTGAAGGTGGGTGTCAGCTCATAACCTGCCAAGAACAGCCGGATTGGAATGGATTCCCCTGAAAAAGGAATGCACACATATCTCTGTCACAATAGTTACACACTTATTTTTTTTTAATGGTATAGCTGATTCTTAGTTTTATTTACCATTTTCTAAGTACATGTTTTTTTTTATAGGACTCCAAACTCAATCATTTTCACAGATGCTACCTGGCAACTTCAAATCATTAAACGATCAACAGAAACAAAAGTTTGGTTGCAAAAAAATTATTATAAAATTTTTTTTTATTGCTGAAACGCTGCTTCTACTTGGACTTCACAGTAAGGCTGACACTTGTTTTGGGAAATTCCCTTGACATAACTGCTAATCAGGGGGGAGAGGCAAGTTTCTTTTTTTTTTTAAAACAACAGACCATGAATAATATTTCATGAAAATGTTCCTCTTACTTTTTTTTTTTACCATAACAAGGAAGTTGTAAAAATGTTTTTACTTATACATGACTGCCTTTTTTTTTAAAAACCAAAACAGTCTTCCTGCAGTATAAATTATATGTATTGACAGTTTTTTTTTTAACTCAAATTTCTGCATGGACTTTTCAGCAAGTGGGCAAGACCTGTTGTCTCTTCAAACGCTACAAAAGAAAATGATCAAACCTAAAACACACCTCGCACAGGAGTTTTTTTTTTGATCTCATACTTTGCAATTGTTTCATTTTCATTATAAGTATTGGGACCTAATGAAGAATAACATTACATGTACCAGGGCTTGACACTTATGGTAGCCAACTAGCTTTTTTTTTGCAGAAATTGAGTTTGGATTGTGGTTTTTGATTTCCACTAGCCAGTTTTTTTTTTTTACAAACTGAAATTGTTGTAACAACTAAGATGTCACTAGCCACTTGGGTTTTTTTTTTAAAAGTTAGTGTCGAGCCCTGATGGACATTGGTTAAGTAATGTATAATTATTATGTATAATTATTATCTATAATGATTATGATGAAGTCTGGTTGATACATAAGCTTTTTTTTTGGCTTACAAACCATAAATTACATGTAAGCCAATATCAAACAAAAATTCATATTATTTTAGTTACAATTTTGTAATTGATTATCAGAAGTAACAGGATCATTTTAATTTTTTTTTAAAAATTCTAAACAGCCAAAAAAACAGTTTTCAGTTGTCAAATAACCATTTTTTTTTTTTCAATAAATAGTTAAATAGATAAATAAATAATTTGTGCCACTCTATTTTTTTTTTTTCACACTACATAACCAACAGAACCTGTTTTGTATTTTTTGTAGCAAATTTTTTTTTCTCACTTTTTAGTTAAAGAACCTAAGTCATTTTCTTAAGTTGCTAAATTTTTTTTTTCAAGCATTTAAGTGCTCACCTGTTCCAGTTGTCTCTCTTTTGATAATCGCTAACTCCATGTGTTTGATCTTGATACGCACAAGCAGGAAGTAAATTTTTCCCACATTTTTTTTTTTTAAGTGGTATCTAGAGAAATAAAAATTTTACTTAATGAGGTGAAATACACAGGGTAAACCTGTATAAAATAACTCTCTTCCTTCAACATCCTCCGTAACTTTTTTTTTTTTTTGGCATATAAAAGCAAACCCTGCCAAATGATACTGATAATTAAAAGTATTTTTTTTTCATCTCAAAAAAGCCTAAAAGCCTAAAAGCCAAATGGTCTGATTATCTGAAACAGTTTTTGCAATAAAATTCATGAAAAATTTCATTTTGTTTGGGTGACTTCACAGGAGATTAATAACTTCCAGTACAGCAAAAACCCGTGTGTAAGAGCCTAGTTTTTTTTTTTTTTTTCAAAATAGGTTCTTATGTTATGGGGTATTTACTAACAACTTGGACTAATTTTTTTTTTAATAGGTTCTTAGCCTCAATATTTCAGATGTGAGGACATGCCAGACTTTTTTTTTTATGCTACACTGTACAATACACTGTGTACTGAACAATGTACTTGATTATACAGTTTAGAAGTTTATACCCAGGAGTATCTTTTTTTTAACTTGCTTTAATACATGATTTTTTTTTATAAATACAGTGGGGAAACTGTATTGTGACATGTTTTAAGGAAGTATCTTTTTTTTTGAAAACATTTATTTTATAGTTACAGACATATTTTGCTACAACATTGTTTTTTTTTTTAGAATGACTCTTCATATAAGAACCATGCAGGTTTTCTGGGTAAACAGGTTCTTATATTTTTGGGTATTAAAAACCAAAATTTCTGCCAAAAAGGTTCTTAATTACTAGGTTCTTACATGCAGGTTTTTACTGTATTCCATTTTCAAAACCAAAATGTCTCAGAAATGCAGTTCCTCTGGAGTACAAAGGAAATAATATTGAAATAATTTAAATACTTAATAATACTAAGTAAAGGTTCCCACAATTTTTACATTGAATATATAACCCTTCACAGGGCTCGACACTAACTTTTCAACTTACTAGCCAGGTGGCTAGTGACATCTTAGATTTCAGTTTATTTACAATTTCAGTTTATTTACTAGCCAAACTGGCTAGTGGAAATCAAAAACCACTAGCCAAAACTGAAATTCTACTAGTCTGAGGCTAGTGGGCTACCGTTAGTGTCCCGCTCTGCTTCACCAATGTACATGTACATACTTTGATTTGTTGTATTCAAACTCTATATGCAAACAGTCTTCAATACCAACTTCCATTTTGATGCTGATGGAAAGAAAATAGACCTTTTTTTTTAAATAAATTTTTATTTTGAGCATTTAACTCCCAGAAGTGATTGACAGGTAATTACTCTCTAAAATATTCATACATTATTATCCTAATTCAATGTGCTTCATAGAATTTTTTTTTCATGCAAGACAGGTTAAATATTATGCGATATTTGTGCTCCAGTAATGTTTTTTTTTTTCGCCCGCACTGAAATAACGATTTGGTCTGTTGGATAATAAATCTCTCTTTTTTTTTTACGTTGTGTAGTATTGCTGACTATTTTAACTTGTTGTTTGTATTTTGTTTTTTTTTACAGGCTCGTCAAAATACAGTACAACTCGTAAAAATACTCAGCAATACTACACAAGAAAAGGTCTAAAAAGATATATTTATCTGCAAAATGTTTACGAGAATACCCAAACTGATCAGGCACTGAAGTTGTTATCTTGATTTAACACCAACTCTTGTAAGTTACTTGCGAGGAAATGTGTACATCTACACATGTATCAGGTAGAGGGAAGAATAAACAATTTTTTTTTTAGAGTTTAAGGGTAAGAAAAATACTTTTACCAGCCACTATCACAAGTTTTTTTTTTTTGCACTCAATAAAAACTCATTCTTGTGTAGAGTTGCTAGTTGAATCTATGAACTCAGAACTGCAACATCTCCAGTAATAAAAAATTGAATGATTTCTGAAGCATGCCACTCTTGGACTAAGTGTTTTACAAGACTTCCATAAATAAGCAAAAAAAAATAAACAACATACAAGTATACCTATTGTTCATTTCAGGAAAACTTGACAGAGTGTGGACAGCATTTTTTTTTTCCTTGGATATGTCACTGATTCTTCTTACCACAGACACTCGAAGAAAATTTTTTTTTACATTCAACAATAGAAAAAAAAAAATTTTTTTTTAAGTTTCTTAAACATTTTTTTTTTATACCATAGATAATTATTGTTACAGTACTAATTCCACTTTAGGAACATTTTTTTTTTAGATACAAAAAGACAACTATCTATGAACACACCTTAGTCTGACATTTTTTTTTTTTTAGGTCTCATAGGGCTTCTCCACATTAACAAACTCAAAATCATAGGTCTCACTCTGTGTCAATTCACCGGGCCGAGCTAAATCTCTTACCAATGAAGTGAATTCATGGTGATTTCCGCGATCATAAAAGAGCTCTGAAAAGGAAATTTGTTATTGGCTGAGCTTTTTTTTTGCATGAATGTACACATGGACCTAGGAATCCTTTCATTACTTTTGATCCCAATGTCCTTTGTCATGATTTATGGCAAGAGAAAAAAGTACAACCATGTAGCTGCAAGTATCACAGTTACTGTAAGAGGTGTAATATAAAGCTTGGAATTGCTTGATGTAGAAGTTTTTTTTTAAAGAGCAATAAAGTACAGTACGTCTCACCTATTTGTCCAACAAACTCTTTTTTTTTGCCGTGATGTTCTAGTTTCTTCCCAGGGACTTTTAAATTGACCCTCACTTTTTTTTTAAAGCATTAACAAGAGTCCATCATCCTCTTTCAACTGCAAAGCCTAATTTTTTTTTTTAAAACAACATGAACAAAAACACCTTGCTCTTAACCTCATGACCAGTTTTTTTTTTTTTTTTTGCAACCATTCAATTAATTAATTTTCAGAGGAAATGTACAGAAACAGTTGGAGGCAGCATACTCATGTGGTTTGAAGTGCTGTATTGCAATCAAGCCCTCCGATGATGGAATCCTAAGCTTTGGCACTAACCTTGATATTTCCTTTGCAGTGCCAAGTTCAACTCCTCCACTATGCCTTACAACTACATGGTACAATAAACACTCCACACTCTACTTTCTAACACATTTAAAATGTGTTTAAAGGTAATGAAGCATGTGTTACACTGCTAATTTTTTTTTCTGAAATCTTAGTGTACCTTAAAACATTAACCAGAGTTAGAATTATACTTTTTTTTTATAATATTCCTTTCCAATGCTGGTAAGGCCTTGGGCAAGAGTTCGGTATAACCCGATACATTAAATATGCATAGAGTGTTGCAAAGAAACCTTTATATTTAGTCTTAATGAAATGAATGCATAATTAATGTATGGGGTTATATGGAACTCTTTCCAGGCCTTGTTTGGCATGAAAATTATTAAAAATTGCCTTTTACTCTATGGCAATCACTAGCTTTGGAGACATACACGTGCATGAAGAACACAAATAAAAAGGACATAATCATGACATCCCACTCCCCCCTCACGTAAAACTGCCAGCCCAATCTCTTCAACCTCAGATATATAGTTCATACATAATAACATATCTAGCACCTAAACCTAATGGCATCTCCCTGGACAATAAGGGTTTTGTTGGAAATAATAAACAAATCAATGATATGATCTTAAACGCTTATAAAAGATGGTTTTTTTTTTTCGACCTTGCAAACAATCTGGCTACGGGGAAAAGTATTCAATTTTGAATTTTTTTTTATTTTGCGTATACAATGTAGACATACAGTCTGAAATATAATCACATTGTTTTTTTTTTGATTTGTTACACCATCGATTATAAGAGCATCCACTTTGAGTGACTCAAACGAAAGACAAAGTTTTTGTGATTTATAATCTAATGCGATTGTTTGGAACACTTGGGATCGTTAAACCCGCCTGCTCACATCAACTGAGCGGTTTCTAATCTCGTCACGAATCTTTTTTTTTTGTGATTTAAACCACGACAGCTACAGGTCAGTTCTTGCAGATGGTCAGATCAACATTTATGCTACAAAAATGAGCAAATCATCAGATCATTGTACAGATTTTACCTTTTTTTTTACAGTTTCCCCATCATAGTACAAAAACAGCCTCTCTTTTTTCCCGTCTTCGTTCTTGACGTCTACTTGCTTACGGTTTGCGGCGTTCGACAGCTCGATTTCCACTTCAGCAGACTGGCCGAATCCAAAGAAGCTCTATGAAGAAAGAGCAGAAGCGCGACTGTTTTTTTTTCCAAGAAAAGCCGGTGCAAATTTCGGTTCTCGTTCTGAAATACATACCATCTTGAAAGTGGAATACTACAAACGTTTGGTGATATCCAAGATGGCCTTCTTCCTCCTGATTAGCCTCGCACTGACACACGGGTCAATTATTACCAAGGGTGGGTGGACACAGACAGCCTCTACAAGGGGTCTCATCGTAGAACCTTACCCAAGTCCCCCACCTGACGAGGTGGCCGAGTGGTTAAGGCGATGGACTGCTAATCCATTGTGCTCTGCACGCGTGGGTTCGAATCCCATCCTCGTCGAACATGGTTATTTTTGCCCCTTTTTTAGATAATACAATCAGGACGAAGTAATAAACCCGACATTCTCATTGGTCAGAATGATTGGTCAAGGTCAATTTTTTTTTCAGGGTTTGAATAAATAATTATTTTTGCACGTGATGCGCGCTTTTCTTTTTTTTTTTTATAATAAGCTACCTCGAATTTTTTCATGTATATTATTAATATATAATCACATGATTTTTTTTCGTGCAATTTGGAATAAATAAGCACGAGTAAATTTTTTCAATGATCACAAATCGCACTCGCCTTAAGGACTCATGCAATTTTGTTAGTCTTTGAAAAAATTTTTTTTTGCTTATTTAGTGCAAATTGCACTCGAAATCATGTGATTACCTATACAATTTTTTTTTTTCGCGAATAAATCGCACTGCTGAAAGCCAATCAGACTGACGGGATCATTTTTTTTTACAAAAAATAGAAGCAAGCCGGATGTAGCCTAGAAAAGTGGATCGACATTTTTTTTTAGGTAGTCACGTGATTTCAAGAATACTTTGGAATAACTAACCTCGAGCTTTTTTCAAGCAGTCTATTTTTTGTCACGCGCGTTAGGTTCTGTGGCAACATCGTATGCACTCGTATGTATTTATATGGAATTTAAGACTTTTTATTCACAGTTGACTCCTATTACATCTTTAATTACGACATCGACGTGTGTTGTTTTGTATTTAGAGGAAGATAATTTACGACCGTTCAAGTGTAGCGAATTATAACCTATAGTAATTTTTAAAGAATGACCCACTCATTTTTTTCCACCACGTGAACAAACCTAGAGGGCTAAGAAACTTCAGGGTCATAGTTCCCTTCGGGATTTGAACATTTGATCTCTCATGAAAGAGCACTACCAGCTGAACCAATTTTTTTTTTTTTGGGATTTGCGCTTTGACATTTGGGAAGAGGTGGGGTAAGAATATTTTTTTTTTACACAACTCGGGCAGTCAGAGGGCCAATAACTAAAATCAACCAATCAATTTTTTTTTTTGCCGGTCCAATATTCTCTAAGTATTGGACTGGGCACTGTCCCGAATTTTTTTTTTTGATACCGCAATTGTGCCCCTTTGATCTTCAGTCGTATAATAAATCTCTTTTTTTTTAAGCTTGCTCGGGACCGTACTGGAAGATTATCGGCCCTCGGTCCGTACTTTTTTTTTCTCTGGCCGATATTCTCCCAATACGGCCCTCGCGCTTGGTTAATAAGATTTTTTTTTATGACTCATCACTGCATGGCTTTATACGAACCAAGGTGATGACTAGTTTTTTTTTTTTTCTGTCCGTAACTACGTCTCTTTAATCACATAGAAGATAACTAACAATTTTTTTTTTCAATCGGCATCCCTCGCTCCTCGCTCTACGTGTCATTACCCCCTCAGTTTTTTTTTCCGACACAACATCCCTTCTTTTCTTAACAAAAAAAAAGAAAAACTTAATTTTTTTTTAGATCATACGATCAACGCGACTGCAACTATGTCCAGAGTTTTTTTTAGTTTTTTTTTGCTAATGTCCTTATCTCCATTGATCGCACTGTTTCCCTTTTTTTTTTCTTTTTTTTTTTTTTTTTTTTTTTTTTAAATCACAACGAGGTTCAAGCCTGTAAGAGGTTTTTTTTTTGTCAGTTTTCTTTCTGGGTTACTCCCACTCACCATAGCGATCTGGGGTTTTTTTTTCCCGTTGCGGCCTCTGCTCTAATTCATTGTCCTCTTGTAACTCAAACTGATGATCACTGTCAACACATTGTTCAACACATTGTTCATCACTGAAGGTAAACTTCTTTACTTCTGTGACGTTCCTCTGGTATTGAACTTTCTCAAGTGACTGCACCACAACACTATTGCCCTTCTTTTCAATGATTTCATAAGGCTCACTTTCAAATTTGGCTGACAACTTTTTTTTTTTTTTCTTCTTTAGAAGCACTTGGTCACCAGTCTAAAGGTCATTTGGTTTTTTTTTTTTTCGTTCATCTGCATATGTCTTCGGTTTTATTTTCTTTTCCCAGTCACGATCTCGTAGCTCATCATCATTTACGGTAGTTTCGCGCAACTCAGGCATCTTTGTGCGGATCTTCCGACCAAATAATTACTCCGCAGGGGAAACTCGTGTGACGGTGTGCGGCGTTGTTCTGTATGTAGCGAGGCAATGAACGAGCTCTTTCCTCCAATTTTTTCCTTTTGCTTGTGCAATTCTCATGCTCTTGAGTAGGCTTCGGTTTTGACGCTCTACTTCGCCATTTGCCTGCGCCCATTGTGGCGTAACCTTGCGGTGTAAGATTCCATTATCAACAAGAATTTTTTTTTACTCTTCAGACCGGAATTGTGGTCCGTTGTCGCTCGTTATGGTTACTGTTTTTTTTTGAACAGCAAATATCGTCTCGAGGCGTGAGATAATCTGGGATGCAGTAATTTTTTTTTAGATCTCCACTTCATAGTACCTAGAATAATAGTCAATAACAACAAGCATTTTTTTTTCTGTTGGCATCGGTCCCAGAAGATCCAAGGATAAGTCCTGCCATTTGCTTTTTTTTTGCTCAGTAGGCATCAAAGGCTCCGGTGGAGTTGCTTCTCCAACTAATTTTTTTTTTTGACACGACCTTACATATTGCTTAGCGTCTTTGTCGATACCGGGCCACCACACTTTAGCCCTCAGTCTCAGTTTCGTAGCAACAATTCCAACATGTCCTTTTGGGTTTTTTTTTTAGTACTTGCTGTCTCAGAGTTTGGGGAATAACAATGCGAGTTCCACGCTTTTTTTTTTTGCCGATGGCACACAGTTCGTCTTTTACTGGAATATATTTAACACATTTTTTTTTTTTCCACACGCCTTCACGAATGCATCGCCTTACTTCACTCAGTTCAGCATTTTTTTTTGAATGTTCCTCTACTTCTCGTGTTGTCATGGCTTTTGGGGTGGCTGTCTTTTTTTTTAACCGTACATATTCTTCTGCAACGTTCCTCGTTTTGTCCTCGTCCAGATTTTTTTTTCAGCTCAGTCGAGACAGGGAATCTGCTATGTTCTCGCTACCAGGCTTGTTTTTTTTTGTGTAATCAAACACTTGCATACGCAGTACCCAGCGCTCAATGCGGGCATTTTTTTTTGACTTCTTTGAGTACAAACATTCCAAAGGCTTGTGATCGGTTACAAGGTTTTTTTTTATCCCATATAGGTAAGTGTGGAACCGTTTACAAGCCCATACAATCGCCTTTTTTTTTCACTCTGTCTGGCTGCATCTGCGTTCTGCATCCGTTAGACTTCGACTATTTTTTTTTATGACCCTGAACTCTCCTTGCTGTTTCTGAGCAAGAACGGCTCCCAAATTTTTTTTTCTTGCATCAGTGATTACACGAGTCTCAGCATCTTTGTCGTAATATCCATTTTTTTTTGCTCGAGCCAGTTCATTTTTCAGCTTCTGAAATGCTGCTGCTTGCTCTTTTTTTTTTTGGAACACAATATCCTTCTTTGTCAGTCTTCGCAGTGGCTCTGACAGTTTTTTTTTTTTTGGAATAAACCTTCCACTGTAATTTACTAGACCTAAGAATGACCTGACTTCTGAAACCGATTCTGGTTCTCTTGCTTGGATTACTGCCTTCACTTTGCCAGCGTTTTTTTTTACTCCTCGACTTGACAGGACACGGCCCATGAATGTCAACTGACTCATGTTTTTTTTTCACTTTTCTAAGTTGAGGGCAAGGCCACATTCACGTACACGAATCATTTTTTTTTTTAGACGTTTATCATGCTGGTCATGTGTTACACCATGCACTATAATATCATTTTTTTTTTTGTGTACCCCTTCAATACCTTGCAATGTCTACTGGATAACCTGCTGGTTTTTTTTTGGAGCTGCTGATATCCAAAATATCAATCTTTTATATCGGTACAGACCTTTTTTTTTTATGAATGTGGTAATCTCACAGGATTCTTAAGTCCAGCTTGCTGAACACTTTTTTTTTGTTCATGTCTTGAAGTACTTCATCGATGGTTGGAATGAGGTATCGTTCTTTTTTTTTCACACAATTTGCTTGTCTCATGTCTACACAAAGTCTCACTTCCCCATTTTTTTTTTTGACAACAACTACAGGGCTGACCCACTGAGATGGACTGTTTACTTTCTCTTTTTTTTTCATGTTCTCCAGTCCGTCTAATTTCTTCTCGATTTTGTCTCTAAGACTTTTTTTTTTTCTGTGCAGAGGCTGAACCACAGGTGCCACATTCTCTTTTATATGCAATTTTTTTTTATATCCTTTTAGCTTTCCTACTCCTGTAAAAGAATCTTTGAATTCTTCTTTTTTTTTACTGCTTACAGAGTTTATGGAACTTCCTATCTCAAGCACTCCAAGCTTTTTTTTTTTACCTCTCCCCAACAGGGGTTGTCCTGTCCCATCAATCACTACAAACTCTTTTTTTTTAACCTTGTCACCCAGGACTACTCTTGCTTCGAAACAACCGATAACTTTTTTTTTTTTACTACTCCCATAAGCATACAGCTTCTTTTTGCACCTATAGGATTTGCATTTTTTTTTCTGGGATTTTAGCTCCTCCCATGTTCCTTTATCAATCACATTAGTGCTTTTTTTTTTGTCAATAAGCATTCGCACAGAAATCCCTCCAACTAACACATTTATCATTTTTTTTTTAAGTTCGTCTGCCCACAGTGAATGCGTACTCGTCATCGTCGCTCTCAATTTTTTTTTTGTCATCATCAATCGAGTTCACATTCGATCTCCTTTTGTCTGGCACATTTTTTTTTTAAAATCTTTTTCTGGTGACAGTTTTGATTTGGCAAACCTTAGCAAAATTTTTTTTTTTGTGACACCTCTGACACTCGGCATTTCTTGCTGGACAACAACTGACAGTTTTTTTTTGACCTTCTCTGTCACAACGATAACATTTGGCTTTTGTTTCTCTTCCTTTTTTTTTTTCAGCGGTTTCTCCACGTTCGATACGGTTAACTTGTAACGATCATCTTCTTTTTTTTTCATCGTTTTCAACTGAATATCTACTGCCTCAAACGATCGAGCGATTTCTTTTTTTTTTTCCAGAGTCAGATGGGTTCCCTTTAACAATAGTTTCCGCCGCAAGTCTTTTTTTTTGCATTTGTCGATGACCTGATCGCGAATCGGCTCGTCTTTGTTATCCCATTTTTTTTTTTCCGCTTGGTGTCGTAACCGAGTAATAAATTGATCGACCGTCTCTCCTCCCTCCTGTTTGAGATTTCTGAATAAAGGCTGATAGTTTCCAAAGAAACTGTTTGGGGCTGCGTCGGTGGGAGTAACGAAATAATTTGGATATATCAACAAAGTTGAAATGATAAATTGGCCACCGTAACGATTACAAAAGCTGACGTTTGCCCATCGTCGAAACGTCAGCTTTTGTAATCGTTACGGTGGCCAATTTACCATTTCAACTTTGTTGATATATCCAAATTATCCTCCCAAACCCACAGGACTTGCATCAGTGATTACACGAGTCTCAGCATCTTTGTCGTAATATCCAAGAACCTCTGCTCGAGCCAGTTCATTTTTCAGCATCTGAAATGCTGCTGCTTGCTCTGATCCCATTGGAACACAACATCCTTCTTTGTCAGTCTTCGCAGTGGCTCTGACAGTGTCGCAAGATTTGGAATAAACCTTCCACTGTAATTTACTAGACCTAAGAATGACCTGACTTCTGAAACCGATTCTGGTTCTCTTGCTTGGATTACTGCCTTCACTTTGCCAGCGGCCACACCCACTCCTCGACTTGACAGGACACGGCCCATGAATGTCAACTGACTCATGGAGAATTGGCACTTTTCTAAGTTGAGGGCAAGGCCACATTCACGTACACGAATCATTACTTTTCGCAGACGTTTATCATGCTGGTCATGTGTTACACCATGCACTATAATATCATTTGAGATGTTGTGTACCCCTTCAATACCTTGCAATGTCTACTGGATAACCTGCTGGTATTTCTCCGGAGCTGCTGATATCCAAAATATCAATCTTTTATATCGGTACAGACCTTTGTGTGTGATGAATGTGGTAATCTCACAGGATTCTTAAGTCCAGCTTGCTGAACACTTTACTGTTGTTCATGTCTTGAAGTACTTCATCGATGGTTGGAATGAGGTATCGTTCACGTTCTACCACACAATTTGCTTGTCTCATGTCTACACAAAGTCTCACTTCCCCATTGGGTTTTGGGACAACAACTACAGGGCTGACCCACTGAGATGGACTGTTTACTTTCTCAATGATGTCCATGTTCTCCAGTCCGTCTAATTTCTTCTCGATTTTGTCTCTAAGACTGAATGGTGGTCTGTGCAGAGGCTGAACCACAGGTGCCACATTCTCTTTTATATGCAAATTAAGCTGATATCCTTTTAGCTTTCCTACTCCTGTAAAAGAATCTTTGAATTCTTCTACAATGTCACTGCTTACAGAGTTTATGGAACTTCCTATCTCAAGCACTCCAAGCTTGATTGCTGTACCTCTCCCCAACAGGGGTTGTCCTGTCCCATCAATCACTACAAACTCTGCCTCACAAACCTTGTCACCCAGGACTACTCTTGCTTCGAAACAACCGATAACTTTTATAGGCACACTACTCCCATAAGCATACAGCTTCTTTTTGCACCTATAGGATTTGCATTCAATCTTCTGGGATTTTAGCTCCTCCCATGTTCCTTTATCAATCACATTAGTGCTTGCCCCAGAGTCAATAAGCATTCGCACAGAAATCCCTCCAACTAACACATTTATCATCCCACCTGTAAGTTCGTCTGCCCACAGTGAATGCGTACTCGTCATCGTCGCTCTCAACTCTCAAGTTGTCATCATCAATCGAGTTCACATTCGATCTCCTTTTGTCTGGCACATATCGTGGTGAAAATCTTTTTCTGGTGACAGTTTTGATTTGGCAAACCTTAGCAAAATGTCCTATCTTGTGACACCTCTGACACTCGGCATTTCTTGCTGGACAACAACTGACAGGACTAAAATGACCTTCTCTGTCACAACGATAACATTTGGCTTTTGTTTCTCTTCCTTTGAACTGGACAGCGGTTTCTCCACGTTCGATACGGTTAACTTGTTGACGATCATCTTCCACACCAGTCATCGTTTTCAACTGAATATCTACTGCCTCAAACGATCGAGCGATTTCTTGCACCTTTTCCAGAGTTAGATGGGTTCCCTTTAACAATAGTTTCCGCCGCAAGTCGTCTGATCTGCATTTGTCGATGACCTGATCGCGAATCGGCTCGTCTTTGTTATCCCAAGTACAATTTTCCGCTTGGTGTCGTAACCGAGTAATAAATTGATCGACCGTCTCTCCTCCCTCCTGTTTGAGATTTCTGAAGACGTGTCTTTCGTATGGCTCATTTAACCGCGCGCTAAAATGAGCATTAAGTGTGCGTAGGGCTTTCTGATATTCGTCAGCATTGTCTTCACCCACATCTGCCGGCGGTCCTGGATCGAATAATTCTTGCCCTTCACTGCCAGCACAGTGTAACAGCAAACCTTTTTTTCCGAGCGCTGTTGGTGATTCCTCTTGCTAAGAGATAATATTCAAAAGATTTTTTCCACTTTTTCCACCGAGGAGCAACTGAGGTAATCGCGCCTTTTTCGAACGACAAAATTCCTCCAAATTCAATACTTGCCGCTGCCATGTTGATTTATGCGAAGGTACTGAACATCCTCGTCGCCAGTGTTGTATTCTGTCCGTAACTACGTCTCTTTAATCACACATAAGATAACTAACAACAAACGAATTCAATCGGTATCCCTCGCTCCTCGCTCCACGTGTCATTACCCCCTCAGGTCATTTGAACGACTCAACAGTTCCCAGTTGGCTTGTTAGCTCAGTTGGTAGAGCACTGCACCGGTATCGCACAGGTCATGGGTTCAAATCCCGTACGGGCCTGAATTTTTTTTTTAGGCCCTAATTTCACTACTACATAAGTAGTGTTCATTATTGCAAGGATCTCTTTCATATACATATACACATATCCGATTTTCGTATATTCAAATTCATTGATAAATATTATTTCTTTTGAGGGAGGGAAGAATGTGCGCAGTAATCGGTAGTTGAACAAACGTTTATTTCTCTACATTGTGTTTTATCAGTATTCATATTTTTGAAAATTATCGCTGCACCAATGTTATGACAATTTATCTGGCATACATTTAACACTGAAGTTGATTGGATGAGGTTGAGCATGATAGCGATAATTATATCAAGGCCAAAGTTTGTGTTATCTACCGAAGCTAAGCAGAAGGCTGACTATTGTCTGTAGGCATGGCGTCACTTTCACATGCATAAAATATATTGTCTGTAGGTATGACGTAAGAGAATGTATAATAATAATAATTAATGCCTCGGTTTCATTTCAAACTCTCGTTGCCTCGTGCGTCGAAGTCTCTAACACTTTTCCTCAGACTTAAAAAGACATGAAAATATGGTCGCTCATGAAGTTAAAGTGGCATCTGTAACGTTCCTGTTGAGAATGCCTCATATCTTATATGCATATGTACAAGTTGGTAGGTAAATTAGATTTTAAATATTAGTTAGCTCGGCCTCCGATTTGTGATCAGTATAGTCTGACATGAAGGGAACGTTTAAGTTTAGGAGAGTTTATTTTTAAGATTAGGAGAGTTTTTCTTAGCATGTTCGACGAGTAATTTGTTTACTTCATCTTTTTTTTAATCGTATCTAGATCTCATGCTTACTTCAACAGGACAAACCAAGCATTCGAACGAATTGTAAATGCTGATATCTTCGTGTAAATTTAAAACAGTTTCGATAAGTGTACATTTGGTTCTTTTTTAAAGCTAGCCTTCTTAAGAAATTCGAGATCTATTAACTCAGGAAAAAAAATCGATCCAATGTACTTGATCTCGCTATTTTTTCAACATGAGTTAATAAACATACCAAGCTGATGCCCGGCTTTCTATCCGAGTTTTCATTTAAATTTCATCGTCTTACTTGTTCGTTTAAAATTCGAGTTTTTTCGGTTATGAAAGTTTTCGAATGTCGATCCAATTAAAGCTCAACTGATAAATTCATTTAGTGTTGAAATTGAGAGGAAATCACAAAATATATATATATATATATATTTTGTGATTTCGTTTTTATAAATTGAGTTTTGGGAGTAGCTCATGATTAGCATTACAGTTTGAGGTTAATAATTAATGAGCAAGATCAAACTGACTCTCACTCACTTTCTAGCGCAAATTGAAGAGTACAATTTTCTTTCTGTTCCAAAAAAGCCTTTCTCAGTTGTAATTCCATTTTACCGTTATCATGGCCATGGAACTCGAAAGGTATAAACGCTTTATTTGTAGGATGGGGTGGGAGAATGGCCCTGAAAAGCCCTATGGGAAGTGGTCAATTAACGTATGTATGTATGTAACGTATTTCTTTGAATAAGCACCCAAGGTCAAATGAGTGCCCTCCCCGAAAATTAAAACGCTCCCTCCTTCTCCACTTTTGCAAAGAAGTAGGAATACCTGTTTCTATTACCAATTTATTAATATTGATAACTTTTTAACGTTCAATTACAGTGGAATCAGAACAGAAATAGAGATTATTTCATGGAAAGAGCGAACTTTCCATCAGGGTACAAAGTTTTTTCTTTTTTCATACATAATGAGATATACGCTGTGAAGTACGAAGTGAGCGACTGTGGAAATACATATATCTTCTTAGAAGTTTTGTTGTGACTATCGCTGAGTATTTTTACGAGTAGTGCCGCATTTTGAAGAGCCCGTAGAGCGAGCCAAAACTCAAATAACGAGTAAAAATACTTAGCGCGTCGTCGTGTTGCTGTTTCTATTTTCTTCAGTAAATGATGAAATTTTCATTATCGTCTAACCGTCTCTTCTTCGTTAGATTTATCCAATAAACTTGGATAAATATTCGCCAGCCATTCTTACTTTTTGTCGTCAGAAAAATAATAATATTTCAATTGTTCGCCATTGTTTTATTGTAACTTTAATCCAATTCGTCACCTGTGCGATCCGAGCAAACCTGTCTAACCGGTTCTCTTGAGTACAAATACCGTGTGATATTTGTACTTGTCTTAGGCGTTATTTGTACTAAAAGGAGTGTAGTTGGATGATAAATCTTTTTATCCTAAATTTTAAATAAGCGCTAGGGCGTTAATTCAAGGAAATAAGGTAAGTCCGGATAATTTTTCCTCACCCCTTGGAAAAAGCGTGCAACGGAGAAAAATGTAGGGGCAAATTATATGTTTAACCATCAAGAAAGATATATCATAAGCATGTTGGTTATCTGCTTCAGAGTGCAATTATCAACCCATATTTTATTCAGCTTGAACAAAATTTAAGTCTTATATCAGAGTATCCGGGAAAATTCACTGGCGTAAGGACCTGAATAAAAATTATAATGAAAAATGTATATCAACCAGTTACTATATGGCGTTTTTTTCCCTCACATTCTCCACTTTTTTATTTTCGTCTTTTTTTTTATCTAAACAGGCGACAACTGCTCAAGCTTCCCTTCAGTAATCAGTTTCAGTAGAGTAGTTACTGATCACGTCCTCGAAGGGCGCATCATATCGAGTGTCCTCGTGACAAGTGATCAAGAATGTCAAATGAAATGCATCTTAAGCAAAATGTGTGACAGCTTCAATCTTGGGCTCCAAACCGCCTCCAAGCTTTACCCCTGTGAACTACTGGATCTCCGATCGAGCAAAAAGAGGAAAAGGAGAGAAGAGTGGAAATTCCGGGCAGGATGGGTGAGTAATTAATTCTTAACCGACTACACGTCATGTCATTTGGAAGTTGAGGCGGAAAGTTTAATTTTCTGACATATAGCGCTTATACGTGTTAATTTTTGTTTATAGTGTCAGACCTCTCCGTGTCTAAATGGTGGTACATGTTACGTCGTAAACGGTCAGCCATACTGCGTCTGCGCACAGTTTTGGGAAGGTGCTATTTGCAACGTGCCTTTGTATAGTAAGTTCTTACAAATTTTGTATTCATTGAATCTATGAATATCTGATAAAATCGCATAATTGAATAAGCCTCGCATTCTGACTAGTTGACGAAGCGAGGTATTTAACGTGGAATTGTGAGTTGAAAGCGGGGCTAAGTGATATTATTTTAAATCTCTTATTACGCGCTCAGGATAAAAACTAACAATATGACTGCTTTATTATTATTATTATTATTATTATTATTATTATTATTATCATTATTATCATTAATTTTATTCAATAGTGCGATTCAAGGAAACTTATTACATGACTCGTGAAGTCCGCGTTAAATTGCACTTGAAAAAACGATATCGCACGAATTGCTAAGCGATGACTGCGATTTCGGTCGTGTACAAATTAACGTGGAATTCCCTTGTCAGGTAAAGAATTTCCTATAGTGTCGACAAAAGGTTCGAGATTTCCCTTTATGAATCTGCACACTAGCGATGAGTAATTCCCAAAACACAAGTGGTTGAATAAGTTCCGAAAAGTATGACATTAATTGATTGATCGATTATAAGCATAAAAGCTTTTGGCCACNGCCTGCTCCCAGTTGGCTTGTTAGCTCAATTGGTAGAGCGCTGCACTAGTATCGCAGAGGTCAGTGGTTCGAATCCCGTACAGGCCTGATTTTTTTCAGGTCTGATTTTCGCTATTGCATAAATAGCGCTCTCTACTGCGAGGATCGTGCATCATACGTATCTAATACCGCAGTTCAAAATATATGAACTTCATATATTCATTGTATCTGATTTATCATCACGGGTTTATTACGAATCAACTTAACGGCCTGCTCCCAGTTGGCTTGTTAGCTCAATTGGTAGAGCGCTGCACTAGTATCGCAGAGGTCAGTGGTTCGAATCCCGTACAGGCCTGATTTTTTTCAGGTCTGATTTTCGCTATTGCATAAATAGCGCTCTCTACTGCGAGGATCGTGCATCATACGTATCTAATACCGCAGTTCAAAATATATGAACTTCATATATTCATTGTATCTGATTTATCATCACGGGTTTATTACGAATCAACTTAACGGCCTGCTCCCAGTTGGCTTGTTAGCTCAATTGGTAGAGCGCTGCACTAGTATCGCAGAGGTCAGTGGTTCGAATCCCGTACAGGCCTGATTTTTTTCAGGTCTGATTTTCGCTATTGCATAAATAGCGCTCTCTACTGCGAGGATCGTGCATCATACGTATCTAATACCGCAGTTCAAAATATATGAACTTCATATATTCATTGTATCTGATTTATCATCACGGGTTTATTACGAATCAACTTAACGGCCTGCTCCCAGTTGGCTTGTTAGCTCAATTGGTAGAGCGCTGCACTAGTATCGCAGAGGTCAGTGGTTCGAATCCCGTACAGGCCTGATTTTTTTCAGGTCTGATTTTCGCTATTGCATAAATAGCGCTATCTACTGCGAAGGATCGTGCATCATACGTATTTAATACCGCAGTTCAAAATATATGAACTTCATATATTCATTGTATCTGATTTATCATCACGGGTTTATTACGAATCAACTTAACGGCCTGCTCCCAGTTGGCTTGTTAGCTCAATTGGTAGAGCGCTGCACTAGTATCGCAGAGGTCAGTGGTTCGAATCCCGTACAGGCCTGATTTTTTTCAGGTCTGATTTTCGCTATTGCATAAATAGCGCTCTCTACTGCGAGGATCGTGCATCATACGTATCTAATACCGCAGTTCAAAATATATGAACTTCATATATTCATTGTATCTGATTTATCATCACGGGTTTATTACGAATCAACTTAACGGCCTGCTCCCAGTTGGCTTGTTAGCTCAATTGGTAGAGCGCTGCACTAGTATCGCAGAGGTCAGTGGTTCGAATCCCGTACAGGCCTGATTTTTTTCAGGTCTGATTTTCGCTATTGCATAAATAGCGCTATCTACTGCGAAGGATCGTGCATCATACGTATTTAATACCGCAGTTCAAAATATATGAACTTCATATATTCATTGTATCTGATTTATCATCACGGGTTTATTACGAATCAACTTAACGGCCTGCTCCCAGTTGGCTTGTTAGCTCAATTGGTAGAGCGCTGCACTAGTATCGCAGAGGTCAGTGGTTCGAATCCCGTACAGGCCTGATTTTTTTCAGGTCTGATTTTCGCTATTGCATAAATAGCGCTCTCTACTGCGAGGATCGTGCATCATACGCATATTTATTATACTTATTGTAATACTGGGTTGAACCAATTATTCTAAACTTTTATTAAGTACAGAAGCCTATGACGAAGACTAGGTTTTAAGCTTCTAGTACAAAATGCTGTAGAAAGTAATAAGTAAAAAAAATCTAACCTGTTAATTCTGTTCATTTATCTTAGAAACATCCTGCAGTGAATGGAAAACTTTAAACTCTTCATCTGCGAGCGGCCTGTATATTATCGCTCCTCGATATCAAAGTGGGGTGGCACCTTTTTTGGTGTACTGTGACATGACTGACAAAGATGGAGTTGGCGTGACAATTATTGGTCACGATAGCGAGAAGAGAACCAATGTAAAAGGTTGTGATCCCCATGGATGCTATTCACACGATGTGCACTATCTAAATGCTGGTCTGCTGCAGTTGGCAAGCCTCGCTGCCGTATCAAGCCACTGTGAACAATTTATCAAATATGAATGTGATGGCTCCAGCTTGCTTTTTCGGGGCTGGTGGGTGTCACGCAATGGTACAAAGATGGACTACTGGGGTGGGGCAACTCCAGGAAGTGGTAAATGTGCATGTGGAATGAGCAAGAGTTGTTACGATTCCTCAAAGCCGTGCAACTGTAACGCGAATATAGAAGGTATAACACTAGAAGACAGTGGTTTATTAACAGACAAGTCGGCTCTTCCTGTGAGTCAGTTGAGATTCGGTGACGCAGGCGGTGCTACTGAACAGGGATGGCACACTCTCGGAAAGCTCTACTGTTACGGAATCTCTTAGTAAATCAACAAAGGAAAACATATCTTTCAACTTTCATAGTTTTTAAACAAACTTGAGGCTATTCAAGATGTAAGAAAACATTAGGGAAGTATCTGAGGAGGCATGCAGCTTTCAGTCTTTTTCAGTGAGCAACGCGCTCACACGATTGCTAATTTCTTTGAGTGACATTTGCTATGGATCGTTGCAGTGTCAGCCACCATCAAAACTTACCAATCAGCGCGTATGACAGAAAGACTTCAGCTGAAGGAGTATTACAACAGTTGGTTCTTACCACTATTTCCATCCTCCCTTTTTCTCGCATCGTTTCGCGGCACCATGGCACTACTAGCGTGCATATGTTTTTCTTTCTGTTCCTCCATAACAAGCGAAATCGCTCTTTCATAATGTATAGCGTTATCAATGTTTTTCGGTCTGTTGTTTCTAAAGATCTTTGAATTGTGATAAAAGCAAATAACCTGGCCTTGAAGCCTTATTAACAAGCATACTACAATCAGAAAAACAAACAAACATATATTTTAATGCATCCTGTCTTACCATCAAATGCTGCATTGAATCGATTATAATTTTTCATTTTCTATTTTTTTATTTTCTATTTTTATCAACGATATCAAAGCTGTTAATACTAATAAGAATCTACTAGTCAAATTTGCTGATGATATAACTATTAGTTTACCAATCGAGGCAAATGCAGGCTTAGATGAATCCGAAACGGAAGTCCTATCCTTTATTGAATGGTCCGGGAAGAACTGCATGAAAGTCAACTTGACGAAAACATGGGAACTTCTTTTACGAGGAAAGACTTCAAATACGCCTCCTGAACCACTCGAGATCATAGGGAGAAAAGAAAAACTGAAACTATTGGGTGTTACCTTTGAGAAAGTGCCAGTTAATTGGGACACTCATATTGATTATCTACTTAGTAAGGCTAGCAGTAGGTTGTATATTTTAAGAATATGTAAATACTATCGCTACTCTATTGAAAATTTGGGCTTAAGTTTTCAAAGTTTAATTCTTTCAGTTTTTACATATGCTATTGAGGTGTGGGGTGTGCTTTTTATAGTAAATATTTAGGTAGAATTGATAAGCTCTTTGCCAGGTGTTATAAGCTGGGTTACTGCTTAAAGCAGCACAGTATCTAGGATATCCGTCGTAATAGAAATAACAAATTATGGCAAAGGATCTCTTCCACCAACACTGCGTTGAGCAGTCTCTTACCTCCCCAGAGAGCACGGCAGTTGAGAACTAGGTCGCATAATTATATTTTACCTAAGGTTCAGACAAGCCGTTTTGAATCAGTTTTTATTAATAGACGTCTTTTCAACAGTAATTAATACCTTTTCTTTTCCTTATTCATTCTATTCATGTTAATTGTTGCACGTCTGTTTGCACAATAATTCTTAATTAAGACCTTTATTATTATTATTATTATTTATTCATTCTTTGCTATAGTTCGCTTCACAAACGTTATCAATTGCATGAATAAATCACTTGTTAACAGGTTTCGTCGACACGTATATGTATGTCGTATGTTTCTTCCTGTTTAACTCAGTTTTTACAACACGAAGATATGATCACTCTTGATGTTAAAAAGACATTTGTCATTTACCTGTTGACGAGAACTTATTTCTTATCTGCGTTTGTCCAAGCTGGTAAGTATGGAAATCAAGAGTTTTGTCTTTCTTGTTTTGTTTTTTTTTTGTGTGTGTGTGTGTGTGTGTGTTTTTTTTTTTTTTTTTTTTTTTTTTTTTTTTTTTTTTTTTTTCATGTACTGGCTAGGTTCAGAAATTTAACCACTAAAAAAATAATCTGACATGAAGGAAACTTAAGAACGTTAACGTTTAACAGAATAGAAAGTTTTTCTTTCTGTTTTCTTTCCAGTCGCTATTCGTCTAAACGTCATCAGACCAGGCCTAATAATGCGAGTTTGAAATATTTAAGTGCCGATCCGTTCTTCCAAATTTGACCACAATTCGCCTTTTTCTCTGAGAATATAGTATCTTCGGATTTTCAGCTGAGCCGAATTTCTTGGAGATTTTTACGACAAGAAATAGACAGAAGGCAAGTTTCCTGGTTTACACCATTTCTCATGAAAAGGAAATTTAGTTCATGACGATCTATCAAAGTTGCCAGCAATTTCATTGCTGATTTTACTCGTACTGATTTATCGATTCTAATTTTCAGAATTTTATTCGATCAACTTTCAGGTGAGGTGTAAGAAAAAAATGTAAAAACAAGAGACTACACTTAGTCGACAAAGTGTTAGATATTAAAGCGTGAATCAGAAAATTGACGTTTGGAAGTAACTAAAAGTTACATTTTGATGCAAATAATTGATATGCAAGTATCACACAGAGCGTCGCAAGTCGAACAAGAATACGATTCAATACGATTCAAAAAAAGTTTTTCCTTGTGCCAAAATAAACTGATTTATTTATTCATCGGCCAGTTGACCATGGTGTTTTTCTTCTCACGCTCTTTTACTTTCAATTCCATCTTTGTTTACCTCACACAGGCGACACCTGCTCCAGTTTACCTCCACTAGTCAGTTTCAGTAAAGCAGTTATTAATCACTTGCTTAAGGGGTTCGTCATATCAACAGTCCACGTGACAAGTGACCAAGAATGTCAGATGAAATGCATCTTAAGTAAAATGTGTGACAGCTTCAATCTTGGGCCCCAAGCCGCCTATAAGCTTTACTCTTGTGAAATACTGGATTTTCGATCGAGCCGTATAACGATAAAGAGAAAGGGATGGAAATTCCGGGCAGGATGGGTACGTGAGTTTATCATTCTTTAAAAACATCGATTCACCGAGGAAAATCGTAATATCCCGTGCGTATTTTTTCTAGTGTCAGACCTCGCCGTGTCTAAGTGGTGGTACATGTTATATCGTGAACGGTCAGTCATACTTTGTTTGTGCAAAGTTTTGGGAGGGATCCAATTGCGGCGTGCTACCAAGTAAGTTTAAAAACCCTTAAATCATTGTTTTTATATATAGGTGTTTCAAAGTATCGACTAAACAGTTCCTACAATGCTATTAATGAGTATTATTTTGTTCATATGTGCTTTGGTGGACACTAACGATGAGTGAGACCGAGGACTTTAGATATAATCGAAACAGTTCCAAGAGTTATATGTTATTAATGAGAAATTAGTGATATGCATTAAAGAATTTTACTACAGTTTTATAAAAATAGGGATTCTAAGCAGGCCCGAATGTCTGCTATGTAACTTACATAGTCATACAACAAGTTCAATTACGCACGCGCATTCTGATTAGCTGTTACTTGTGATCTACTGGAGGACGGACGCGTAGGTGACGTCAAAGTATCGCTTTTTTAATATAATGAAGTGAACAGATTTCATGTAGCCATTTGTCTGTTAAGCAATAAATCGCAGAGGACGACAACATGCTTGCTCCTCTCCTTATGACATCTGTGACCCATTACTGAGCCGATGTACGGCAACAAGAAATCTATTATTTAAACAGCAAAAAAATCCGTAATAGACCTTTTGACGACTTCTCACTTGCTCAGAATCATCCTGCAGTGAATGGAAGGCTTCTAACTTATCGGCTCCCAGCGGTGTCTATATCATCGCACCTGGATATCAAAGTGGAGTGACACCTTTCTGGGTACACGGTAACATGACAGACAAGAATGCATTTGGCGTGACAGTTGTAAGTCACGACAGTGAGATAAGAACCACTGTACTTGCTTTTGATGAGGCGGGGAGTTATTCACGTGACGTGCATTATCAAAATGCCACTCTGCTTCAGTTAGCAAACCTCACTGCTGTGTCAAGCCACTGCGAGCAATTTGTCAAATATGAGTGTCATGGCTCCAGTTTGGCTGGTCACGGCTGGTTGGTGTCACGTGATGGTACGCGGATGGACTACTGGGGTGGGGCAACTCCAGGAAGTGTTAATTGTGCATGCGGAATGAGCAAGACTTGTTACGATTCCACAAAGCCGTGCAATTTTAACGCGAATATAGAAGGTATAACACTAGAAGACAGTGGTTTATTAACAGACAAGTCGGCTCTTCCTGTGAGTCAGTTGAGATTCGGTGACACAGGCGATTAAACTGAACAGAGATGGCACACTCTTGGAAAGCTCTACTGTTACGGATCCCGTTGAATTTCACCAATATGAAAATGCTTTAACTTTTACTAGAATCAATTTTTCTTGACCTGACTTTAATTGGTTTAAGTTTTCAGGTATTCACAGTATCTAGATAAACCAAGGGAGGAAAGAAACAGGGCACTGTAGTAGACACGAATAACGAAACTAGGGACTGACGCGGATGTCGTTACACATGTCGTGACGTCGCGTCACGATTATGTTCGCAATGTATTGTGGTTAGAAGAAAAAGGAATGAGCGCGCCTTCAAGATGGCGTGGTAATGTTGTTGTTATTAAATGTTGTTTTTTTTTTGGAAACGAGCCTTTATTCTGTCTCGAATGATTGAGCGAACCGCGAACTACGAGAACAACAACAGATTTTTAAGATTTGAATATTCTACAAGGGACCCATTTATGGCTACGAGAGGAATAACTGCCGGGATCGTAGAAATACTACCAGTCTCTTGCAATTTCAATATCTTTCTTATACCCGAAAGCATCATTAATTTAGCTCCTTATTTTAAAAACGCCCTTGACGTTTTGCATAAGCATCTCGTCCAAAGTCAATTTTACTAATTTTATTTAACAATTGGTTCATGCTTTAGCGTGCACTATCGAGTTATGGAGCACGTGAGAAGTTTGGGGAGCACGAAAGAAGCGTAAAAATTGCCCGAGAATAGCCGAGGGCAACTCTAGCTTCTTGAGTGCCCTCCAAACTTCCCAAGTACTCCATAACTCGATAGTGCACAGGTAAAAGCATGAACCAATTGTTTTATAACATAGCCGGTAGAAATCCGACGCGAAAAACGGACAACAATATCAGAAGCGAAATATCAAGCAAAATAGGAATTATCAAACGATGTTAACTCTTGTTTTTCCCTCCGGAAAAACTTGCGGAGTCTTTTGCGCTTGAGTGATTTCTTTGGTGAAAAATAATTGGAACTAGCCTATTTTTCGTATTATGTTAACTGAAAATTATGTAAAGGTTTCGCTATGATACCTGCACCAACCTATTCTTTTAATTCAAATAAATCTAGCATTAGCACATCGATAAAAAAAACCTTTATAACATAGCTTGTAAATTCATGTAATAAAATTCAATAGCGCGAGCGTGCTTCAATTTTCCATTGTGCACGCTGGTGAGGTCAGCAAACAAATGCCTCGCGAAAAAATTTTTTTCTCGCGGGTGACTTCAGCACTTTTCATTAAAAAACGGGAAAAACTTCCGCAAAAAATTAAACTAGACATGGCAACAAGAGAACAAGCCGATGAAGATCTGCCTACTTTTTCTTTGGGAATGGTTTTTAAACTCCCGAGAAAGAACCCAGAGAAAGGGAAAACAAAACAATAAACGGGTTTCATCTCGTTTCGCAACTCCAACTTCATTTCCACGCATGAATTCACCTGTCAGTTTTTGACCAATCTGACAATGACAGTGACAATGACAATGACAATAACTTTATTTATACTTGAATTTAAAATAGCAAATACATGCTAATATCTCCAAGTTAAATTATCTAAATTTAAAATATTTGAAATTAATCTAATTACTAACTATCTAAATACTGAGATACAATGAATATATGAAGATCATATATTTTGAACTGCGGATTATGATGCACGATCCTTTATGCAATAGCGAAAATCGGACCTGAAAAAAATCAGGCCTGTACGGGACTCGAACCACTGACCTCTGCGATACTAGTGCAGCGCTCTAACAACTGAGCTAACAAGCCATAGCATAACAAGTTCCATCGCATAAATAGCGCTATCTACTGTGAGGATCGTGCATCATACGTATCTAAATACTATCAATATATAAAATACAAAATATAATACTAAAGCAAAGGATATTAAAATATAATTTCTAAACTAGATAAAAACTAAGTAAATTTATTCTACAGGTCGAATTTCAATTTAGAAATTTCGGATTTAAATTGACTTAATTCGTGTAGCAGTCTTATGTTATTGGGAAGAGAGTTCCATAGCTTACTACCCTGATAGGCCAATGAGTGGAGGCCATAGCTAGTGGTATTAACCTTGGGTACCATAAGAATATTATCCGATCTGATTATCCATAAGAATATTATCCGATCTGAGACAAGATCATTGAAGTATGGCGAAATACTTTTCCGAAACAAAATAAACAACGCATTGAAGTGTAAGAGAGGGAATTTCTGCCCTTTAGACATAAACTACAGCATTGAAAATGTTATAAAACAATTGGTTCATACGTCAGCTGTACTTTCATCAAGAAATGAAGCACTTGGAAAGTTTGGAGAGAGTTGCTCGAGGCGTAGCATCTTTCTTGCTCTCCAAACTTCCCGCGTGCTTCCGATCTCGATGAACGCACGCTGACGTATGAACCAATTGTTAATTAGAAAATAAAATCCCAGGAGAGCAACACACAAAATTACCATGGTTACACTGCATGGTTCCAGAAGATGAAATGCATCATACGTTAATTTTTGATAAAAATACTAGTGGTCACGAATTAGAAACATCGACATTGCAAGGCAATATATTCAATGTTGATGCTATCGCTGGAGGCAGTAATTTCCAAACGTGTTGATATATGGGAGCGACAAGCTCAAGAAAAAGTCTGCGGGTTCTAGCGAATGATTCTACCAGAGTTTGCTCTGTTCAAACCAATAACAATATCGAAATGAAAGGCACGAATGCGGAAAACCACCGCGAAGCTTCGCAACCAACAGAATCTCAAAACGAAGACATGGAAGAAAGACTTACATCGGGTAAATACAATGTCAAAACCGTGGCAGTAAGCGAAGGCTTAGTAAAATTAAAAGAACAGATCACTACAACAGTTGATGATCAACACAATCAAGGAGAAGGCATCGCCGAGGACGAATCAGGCGTGATACTAACTTCGTTCATTGAAAAAAATCCGAAACTAGAAGAAGCGTTGAAAAAGACGAGAGATCATTACAGGGGATTGAAAGAAGCGTTCGCTAGTGGAGTCCTGGGGACAGCAGAAGTGGAAGAACACTTAAAAGGCCTTTTCACCGCTTATACCAACCAACACAAACCAGTGAAAGCTGTGTTAACAGATTTGACCGTGCGCCTAGGTCTTCCAAAGCTTGCCTACGATATCATCGCTGAGCGAAGAAGTAATTGTCCAGAGCTAACAACATGGGATAGAGAAATAGGAGCAGAAAAACCACCTGAGGAAAAGGAAGCGTCAGCGAATCCCGAGAAAACGGTAACTTTAATCTTTTAATTTTTTTTTTTTTTTTTTTTCAATAATTCGAGGTCCAAATGTGTTGTGGCAAATGTCGTAACGTTTTCTTTTAAAATAAACAATTTGTCATTTTTAGTTTTTTTTTTTTTTTTTTTTTTCAATAATTCACATTGTGATTCATTTGGCACGTGCCTGTCGTGCAAAGGGAAGCCACGGAACTTTGCTATCAGACATGCGCGGGCAACAGTGCGATGTCTACAGCAGAGAAATAGGGTTCTAACAAGTTTTTTTCTGACTCTCTTTCCCTTGAGCCTTTTGCAATAAGTTATGATCTTTCTACCTCCATCCCACTCTCGAATTTTAGTTCATGTTCAAAGGGACTTTCATTTTGTTTCAACCAGGTATACACTTGCTGTATACCTTAGTAAGGAAGTATGCATCAGTGAGCATGTTTCTAACATACGTTTAATTTTGCGAGGGAAATGATTATGTATTTGCCCGAGTCTTGTCAGATATGAGATGTTTCAATCAAGCTTAACTTTGGTCCCTTTCTTATTCTTTTCAAGGAATCTGAGAAAGATGAAAAGAAGACATCGAACCCGTTAGAATTACTGCAAGATATCATCTGCCTGTTTCTGGGAACCCTTCTAAATTATTCTGACCTGCATGATGAGTTTTGCTTAGAGTGCAATGAAGTTGGTATGGTTCAGCTTTTTGTAGAGATGTCCAAAAAACTCCAAGATTCAATTCCACACAATGTGAAATATGTAGTAAGTATAGTAATAAAATTTAAAGGTAGCTTTTTATCGTATCTAACTTAAATTGAAGGGAAAATGCTGATGAAAATTTTCCTTTTGATTACTTCGTCACCCAGATTTAAATAATACTGAATTGTATTAAACATTTTTCCTGTTGAAAACTAACATTCATGAAAAAGGAGACTATCTATATAGGTTTATGTAAGTATACGTGCGAGTATATTTTGTACTTCTGCTAACAAGGTAGAGTGACTGGCAATAAAATTATTGACCTTTCATCATTTTTGATAGGGGGGAGGGGGTAGGGCTGGGACCTACTAAAGAGGTGATCTCGATTTAGAGCGGGTTAAGGCTCACTAGGGTTCGTTCGTCGAGACAGAATAATCGCTGTATCAATTAGTCACTTTTGTTTAAGAGAGCGCAGTAACATTAGTAAGCTCGATTTCCAGGCGCTGTTCGGAAAATGAAGCTGCACTCCTCTTTCGAAGCTTCTTATCGAATGGATCGAAGATCGGATCCCAGATAGGCTGAGATCGAGCTTATAACAGCAGTCGCCCTGTCTTATCAGTATCAACGAAGCTGTTATTACTCTCTTGTCAGCAGTAAGTCAATCTAGTAAAAAAAGAAAAAAAAAAGATCCTCGCAGATGAGCAATTGCAGAAAAGAAGCCAGGAAAATTCAGGCTTCGACGGGATTCGAACCGTGCATCCTAGATACTAGGATTTTTTTTACTAACTGAGCTAAGAACCACTCGTTGGTAGCGAGAAACACTTTAGAGGGTAAATCCATCTACAATAAATCATGCTTATACCAGAGCTGCTTTCCTTTTTAACAGGAACCTAAAACACAGCGTCTAAAGAAGTTCACAGTGCGGGGAAAAATGCTGTCCAGGAGCTTGGGGATTCTTCACAATTTATCGAAACGTGTACCAACAAGAACGAACTTTGCCTCTGCCCAGGCAGTGAACTCATTGCTTCTCCCACTTCTTAAAGCTGAAATCACTTTTTACAGCGCTAAGAGTCTGCTTGTATTGGCGTATCTAATTGATGAACAAAATAACCATTTGATCATGGCGGATGCGGGTACGAATTTTTTTTATATAATCTCTCAAATAGTTTGGTTTCAGCGCGTTACGAGACTAACTATGCCCTACTAAAAATTGAGGAATATCAGGTAAAATAAGGTGTCGTCTAGATGTCCAAAGCCTTTGCCATAAGACGAAACCAATCACGGTGAAGCCTTTGCCATGGAAATGAACTATCATTCATGCAAACAAAACTAATTTTATAAGAAATTAATGTTTTGTACTTGGCCTCATTTTGGAAAAGGTGGCTGTTTAAAACCTAGATATGGTCTTTGTTTGGTGACATTGCCAGTCTTTACAGGCACTTTCCTTTGTCCTGCACGCTTAAAAAAATATTCAAGATGAGGGATCGTTTCGTTGTTGCTATAGGATATGACACATTGCTTTGTTCATAAAGGTCATAAAGTGGAAAACTGTTTGCTTTTTCCCGCGGATGATTATCTGTGCATTTTTCTACGCCAAATTAAATGAAGTCAAGCGTTTACGTTTCTTGTCGTTACGTTTCATCAGTCGTTTAAATGGATTAAATTAATGTAATTCAAGAACAAATAGAATAAATCATAAATTAAATCTTTCACAGAGGAATAATTTTTGTCCATAGACGTCGAATTGCTTTTATATTAGAAACGTTCCATTGCCTCCCTCCCCCAAACAGAAAAACCTTCCATTACTCATTCTCCCACCTTTCAATTAGATTTGTTTCTTCCGGTTTTATGTCTGATTTCTGGATCAAGATCGTGCTAAATGAAATTTAAATGAGGTGGTTGTTTAATATATGATTAACATTTCCTTCACATGTTGCATCTAAAATTTAACACCTTCATTTCAGAACCAATCAATTTTCTCATACGCTTGCTGAGAAAGGCCATAGGGACAGACTACCACAGATATCTAGGTTTTTCTGCCCGTGAAATAGCTGAGGGACTGACTCAGATTGCAGTCAACGATAACAACAAAAAAACGGTAACTGTTGATCTTTTATTTCCTATGATCTCGTTATTTTTGGAATGATCATCTTTGACTGCAAGAATTTTTCAATATTCAGTTTTTCAGTGGCTTCTCAGTTTGGATATTTTCGATTTTCCTGATCAGCCATTGTGACTACTTTGGTTTTACAATGGATATATGAAGCTCATATATTTTGAACTGCGGTATTAAATACGTATGATGCACGATCCTTCGCAGTAGATAGCGCTATTTATGCAATAGCGAAAATCAGACCTGAACAAAATCAGGCCTGTACGGGATTAGAACCACTGACCTCTGCGATACTAGTGCAGCGCTCTACCAATTGAGCTAACAAGCCAACTGGGAGCAGGTTGTTAAGTTGATTCGTAATAAACCCGTGATGATAAATCAGATACAATGGATATATGAAGTTCATATATTTTGAACTGCGGTATTAAATAAGTATGATGCACGATCCTTAGCGCTGCACTACTATCGCACTAGTAGAGCGCTGCACCAGTATCGCAGAGGTCAGTGGTTCGAATCCCGTTCAGGCCTGATATTTTTCAGGTCTGATTTTCGCTATTGCATAAATAGCGCCACCTACTGCGAAGGATCGTGCATCATACGTACTTTGGTTTTGTTCTACCACGCTCTAGGAAAGGTTTAAAGTGGTGATAATTCTAAGATAATGTCACAAAGTTCTCATGCGATCACGTGTGCGAAATTAAATGCTCTTGCACTCGTCTCGGCCGCTTAACTCTTTACACCCTCACCTCAGTATGCATATTCTTCAAACTGTTCTCTATACATTTCCTAAGCTGCCGACAAGGAGAATTTGTGTAACAATCAAGAACTTATTCTTTATACTCCTGACCATAATATTTGACCCAGGAGTTATATTGTAAGGAGAAATTAGATACTAGTCAATCTTGGGGGTTAATTGGGTTATTAAACAAAGATTCTTTAAAAATGGGAAAAGATTAATTGAATACTTAAAAGAGTAGCAGCGTTTTCCCGGAAAGATAGGTTGTTTTTCACGAGGGTTCTTATTGTATGGTATTTTGCGATATCTTCCTTCACTCTTATTGGCTGTTGTCATCACTTTGATTTGCTATCGACACTCAATGGAAAAGGTAAATGATAAAATAGGTAGTGAATATCTAGAAATCATCTTTAGGGTTTCTTTGATCAGATCTACAAGTTTTTGCTTAGCCGGACTGAACCGATCATTTCACTAACTTGGCCTAGCTCGTAAGCTCTCTTCAATTTCAACCGGGCCACTGAGAAGAGCTGGTGTATTTAGAAACTCAACCATTCTATGAACTTCAACTTCTCCAGATCATGAATTGAAAATAAAAAATATTTTATCGTTGTTAGATTGTTAAATGTGGAGCCATTCCAATTCTTGTCAATATGCTACAAAACGCCAAAGATGACGAGGAGAGAGTTAATGCCTGTAACACGTTATGGACGCTGGCGTTTGACGAGGAAAACAAGAAAAATATCAAAGAGGACGAGCATGCCTGCGCAGAACTGCGAAAACTTCTGACGTCAAACAACAGAGAAGTGAAAAAAGCTGCTGCTGGCGCATTGTGGGAAATCGAAGGAAAAGAGAAACATGCAGAGGATAAACAACAGTCAGTTAAAAAATCAGGTGGGCATGCGCAGCTTTCGATTTTCCCGGACAAGTCATGACAAGTCTCGAAAAGTTTCCAACAATGATGGTATTCAAAACTTTCCAGCAGGCAGGCACTCAATAACAGCTTACCTAAACGCGTGTTCCTCCTCACGCGGGAAGATTTGAGACCACTTAGAGAGAATTTTGCCGGGGGTCTGGTACTAATGATGTGAAATGCGTATGAAATAGAACTAACTTTGTAGGATCGAAGGGTTAATCATGAAACTAGAGCACAATTAAGGTATGATTTACTTCATAATTATTATTAATATTTTCATGTTCTTCAGACGCCAAGCACGTGATGATCAGTTACCAATGGGATGTACAAAAACTCGTGATTCAGATCAAAAACAAACTTCAATCGGACGGCTTCAAGGTTTGGATGGACATCGATGAGATGGGCGGCTCTACTCTGGAAAGTATGGCCAGGGCTGTGGAGAATGCGAGTGTTGTGTTAGTCTGTGTGTCTCAGAAATACAAGGAGAGTCCAAACTGTAGATCAGGTAATGATGAACGCAGCATGCGCGAGATCTTTCGATATAGAAGTCTCAGCACTTTTCACTTTTTACGGATTAAAAAAAACAGACACGCAAAAACAGGGTAATGAATAAAGCGGGAAAGTTTCTCGAGAGAAGGATATGTTGCAGGGTTATTACAAGTCTTGCAAGATAACTTGGTTGTGGTTTTCTGAGTTGTTGTTATAATTAATCACATACCATAAAGAGTTTCCAAAGCTGAGGTTTAGATTGTTAGCCCTTCGTTAGAAACAAAATTAGCCCTCCTCTTTGAAAATCTACTCTCAGGCTCCCACCTTATTGCTTCAAGCAATCGAGAAAGCGAGTTTTATCAACGCTGCTACCCTAGTTTCGGCCCATTTTTTCTCTTATTCTGGGCTTTTCGAGGCGTAATCGCTTTCAAATTTTCCCGCCTCAGTGCATATGAATAACTAATTATGTCCAGCAATTCTGGGTGATGAACCCCCCTGGCCCTATGGCATTATTTTATCTACTGTAAGGACTAAAGTACTCAAAACGGAAGGAAATCATCACCACAAGGATGCGAGGTGGAAGCATTGTTCCCCTTGTGACTTCTTGCCAAGCTGTGATTGTTCGAAAACAGTTTACAAGACTAATTTTAGGCTGTTGGATGGAAAACGTCTGGAGCTCAAAGGATTAAAGAATTAATGCGATACAACAAAAGTAATCCTGTCTTCATGCTGACAACCTAAGACCTGACGTGTCGATGAAATTCCAAAGACATATCCCAGCCTTAATTGTAGTCCGGCACTTTTCTCTCCATCCATTGCTTCCAAAGTGACCAGCTCCGTTGAGGGCATTTGAATACGTTAAATAGTTGAACAATAACCACGCTCAGGAATTTTTTAACGATTTTTATTTCTATTTCCAATGAACCTTGTAGAGGCGGAGTACACCTATCAGCTACACAAAGACATCATCCCCTTGATGATGGATGGTAAATACAGACCTGATGGTTGGCTAGGCTTTATTGTGGGATCCAAATTCTGGATTGACTTCAGTGAAAAACACAAACTGGACTCTAATGTTGACAAACTTGTGAAAGAACTGGGAACCAGGGGAAAAATTGAACTCCAAGAAAATGCCATGAAAGGTATGATTTAAACCAAAGCTGCTTTACTTGGACGTTTGAGTGATGATCGTAAACGCACTACGCATGTTTTCCTGTACACTGGTGAGTGCGGTTTTCATGACTGATTGAGAGCTCATTTGAGGCTGCGAAAATGCGAGATACAAAAACCCTTAATTTTTCATGCAGCATTGTTTCGTTGCGAGTTTTGGGTCGATATTTCGCGTTTTTCACCTTGCGTGATCAATCTTGTGTTTTGCCGCCTTGACCGATCATCCACTCATCATCGACAGTTTATTCTGCAGTGATTTCCATCTCTTTCCTAATTTGCAGGGTCCATCTAATAGCAATGAGATTGACCATGTTTCTTTAATCTTACTTTTCTCGATTGCTATTTTTTGCAAACCACAGAAGGAAAGAATGAAAAAGAAAGATTACAAGAAGAATGTATCTAGGCCCAGGAATAATTTTCGAGACCAAATCTGTGATTTTATGTTAACTCATTATCTTTGGTATACGTCTGACGCTCAGACAAATTCAAAGTCCTAAAAATGAAAAAAAAAAAAAAAAAAAAGATTAATAAATAAAAACTATTCTTCCTAATGTTTTTTTTTTTTTATTTTTCTTTCTTATTGTAGCCACCGTTATGGACGTTGTTGACGCCTCGCCCCAGTCCACCATCAGATCGTGGACATCAAGTGATGTGAAAGCTTGGTTAATGGATGTTGGACTGAAAGACAGGTTAGGAATGTTTTTTAATCTCTTAACGACTATACCGCAGATGCTTATCTCGGTGTCCAAGGCGTAAAGTGAACTAGAGTGTTGCCAGTCCCCCAAGGTAATGCGGAACAGGATGGTAGTCCACTGAAGTCCTCTCCCCCCAATACATGACGTCAGGTTTCAACAACCTCGTTCCCCGGGTTCTCTTTTACTAATTCCTCGGACTTTGGAAAGAGGTTGTGGCTTCGTTGCGGAAGATTTTTGCTTCTTGTACTAAGCAGGCACTCTGGAAGCGAAGTGACGGTTTAAACCTTTGTTATTAACGTTCAACATTGCAGGCCTAGGTCTTTAAGTCGACCTTATATTGACGTCTTAGTTTCTGAAACAAATTTTTTTATAGGTTGGATTCCAACACTTTAAAAAGGCTAAATGGTCAGATTTTGTTGCGGCTGCAAGATCTCAGGAAAGAGGTAGGAGCTGTGTGTTCTTAAGTACGCAGAAGAGCGCATTTTATTTTCAAGAAAGCGTGGAGCTAGTCATGCGCGAAATGATAAGCCCTCTCTTCTCGTGCGTGGCTTTCACTTACCTCCGCTGACCAAACCACGCTAAGTCAGAAAATATTTTTTCTTTCTAAAGATTTGTACATTGTACAGGTGGATGAACAATAGGACGCGTTGTCCCCTACAAGGTTCACACAACTAAACCCAACCCACCCATACCACCCCGGGATAGGACATACATCACACAGTAATCTCGTGCGCGGGAAAGTAAGGTCTCCTACCCCTCCTGCAGGAGACGGGACCTCCATTTATTCGTTCCTATCCGAGGAGACTAGAATATCTAACCATTTCTTGATGTTATAGAAAAGAAGCATATTCTTCTCAATTATTTTAAGACCTTGAGTGTTGGTCCGGCCGGGACTCGAACCCTCGACCTCCCGTACAACAGTCCAGCGCTCTATCCAACTAACTGGGAGGCGGTTTAATATTCAGCAAGGCTTAAGCCTATTTGAAACATTCTAGTTACAATTTGAAGTTTCGGATGCAATGATGGTTGTACTATCGCGTTTAATGTAGTTTTGAAGGGTTGTTAAGGACATCAGGCAAGGTCGGGACATGGTAACGGCGTCTGTTTCCCGACTCTGAGAAATGGTTGGGCCATTTACTTCCTATCTTCAGATGATCTTCAGCATAAAATACAATTGGCTCGGTAGATTTTTTTTTTGTATCAAGGGCGCAAACTCATTAATGCGAGGAACTGACTAGTGCTGTTGTTTCATTTCAGAGTCCAGAATTCTTCTATTCGTCAGTGAGGACAGATTTTAAACTGGGCACTGTATTTGATGTTCTGGAATTTGTGGACGCGTTGGATAAATTAATGGAGTAGTTTCAGCATGGACAGCTAAGAATACAAATTGCGATATAACGAGCAACACTCTGAGATAAGGGTCTGTTAGCCCACGAACAGGTCCTCATTAACACGGCAGGACGTGCGTTCTTTACCCACAGAAGAGTTGAGACAAGCCGACAAGAGGTTTACCGGGTGCAAGCAGACCGTCATTATCAATATCAGTGCCGCAGGACATCCGCTTTTCCGCCCGCGGGAAGAGTTGAGAGGAATCGGAGTAGAAATTTTTCATGACTTTCAATTGAGAAAAAAAGATTTAGGATTTGAAAAGGAAGCCAGGTTAAAAGTGATGCTGTTGTTACGAGAGCTAGTGTCTTCGCCAATTTCGCTTCTCTTTTAACACGATTCGGATTGCAAAATGGCGATTTCTGCTTCTTCCAAACAACAAAGTTTGCCACACATGTAGTTAACAGAGGGATTCCACAAATCAAATTAATAACGTGAGAGAGTTCCATCCTCTCTATCATAAGAAACTGCCGAAACACCATCAAAGTAGTAAACATTGCCACTGTGATCCACGGCATGATGATAGCGCAGATGTAAACACGGAAGTTTATAGTTCTGTATCGAAGAGGCCAACCGACGGCGAACATTCTCTCCAAGGAAATGACAGCGACAGTGTAGATGGACCTTGTGCCTGTTAAAACGTCAACATCGATAGAAATGATGTCCCAGGCATCCCACCCCTCTGATCCAACTGCTTTGATAGAAAGTGGGATGGCCAAACTCCCAACCAGCAAATCGGTCACAGCCAAGCTAATGAGAAGAGAGTAGGTTCGTTTGTGACGTCTCTGTTTGAAGAATATCCAGTCGGTGAGAGCATCTCCTACAGAGATCAAACTCGCTAATAAACCGAAACAAGCTTTCCAGAAGATGTTCCATGTGTTAAAATCCATGATACCAGCCATTCCTTTTTTGGTAACCTATTAAGAAAACAAACCTTTACTTCTGAATATTTGGACGGTAGCAAATTTCTATAAAAGAAATAAAATTATATAAAAGAATTTTTTTTAATTTTGTTACGATTCTCTCTCGTCTAACTTAAAATCAAGTTAGAATTGTTTATGGATGTACTTACCGTTACTCGTTTGCTGTTTTTGTCGTTGTTTTTCAGTTCAACTTTGATGGAGATCAACTTTGATGGAGATCCACGGTTGATTTTTTTCCTGTTTCGACGGTTGACTTTTTGGCGGTTTCGATAGTTGAAAGTTTTATTTTAAGGCCTTTGATGTCTGACAGTTAAATGTCAGGCAATCGATGCTTCGCACTTCATCGCAAAATAAAAATACATAAAAAATAAAACGGCTATCGAAAGACTGTAATAAACAGAGTATTAAGGTATAATTCAGTTTGCAGCTCAGACCAAGAACTATTCGTACTGTTTGTCAGTACATGTGATCCATAAACATATTCCAAGAATCAAAACTTTCAGAACACGTCTCACCGTTTTGGTCACTCTCCGTCTTCAAATAACAGTTGTGGTTGCTCCAAGTGGAGTTGTTGTTGGGTAGCTGTTCCGTATTTTTTAGTTTTCCTATTCAGCAATTTTACTATCCAGAGTAGTGTTCTGCCGAAATAATCTGTCTTACTTTGCAGTAGTTATATCGCACTTAGTGGTGATAAAGTTATCGTGCTTTGTAATACTTGTCGCACTTTGTAATTAAAAAAAACTGTCGCACTTTTTTTTATAAAAGTACTGTCGCACTATGCCATAACAGACCATTTAACTTTGTGACAAATTAGGTTAAGATGATTGGAACTTCCTTTTATAACATCCTTGTCAAGGATATTAATAATAGTAGTAATAATAATACTAATTACAATTGTATTGATAATCTAGATCGCAACCCACCTGCAGTGAAACAGCTGTAAGGGAAGTATAGTACAGACGCTTAATAAGTCGTACAAACGCGACCTATGAACAGTATTTGAGGAAGAAGACATTTAGACCCTTTGTGATATATCCATCCAGATAGAGAACTACCGACAGAGCACCACCCTTGCACCCTTTATTCAGAGAATAAAATAGATAAGAAATGAATGATAAAAACGCTTCCACTTATTCGCCGATCAGTTCACTCCCGAGAACCCACGAGCATTTTGACTGTCGTCCGTGCACGGGATAGGGAATTTGAACCGAAGTTTCAAGTTTTTCGAGCGCAACACACTTATTTTATCTTTTGATATGTGGATGTAAGGATAAAGAGTTCACTTTCGAGAGGAGATGGCTCGGTAGAAAAGGTCTGTTAGTTCTAAAGCTATAATAGTCAAATCAATAGCCCATTTGCGAATTACACTTGGCCTCATTTTCAAGACGAGTCCCCGTGCTCAACCATTCTTGCAAAAATGAGTTTAATTTGCATGTGAATGGAACTTATTATCATATGAAAGGATTAACACGAGGACTCGTTTTGAAAATAAGGCCAAGGGTAATTTGCAAATGGGCTATTGCTGGTCAATAAGAAGAAAGTTATGGTCACTGATATCGCCTTATACAAAAAGTTGACCATCAAATCTGGAACTTGGTAAGGCATTTGAACACAATTTTGGCCCGGGGAGGGGAGAATTCAGACAACAAATCAAATCTTCAAAAGTTCAAATGCCCAGGTGGTCGCTCAAGGGGGACGTTGAAGCTTCGAATTGATTGACGCATGCGTAAAGCATCAGGAAAAATATTTACAAAGACATGGAGAAAGAAATTGTTTCTTCACAGAGGTGAATAATGCTTCTCGCTCGCGTTGAGTAACTAGTTCGGAAGTGATTACTGAGTACTATTCATTTCCAAGCAGCATCAGAGGCAAAACCGCGCGTCAAGAGTTTAGCTTCTGGCCAATTTTCGGTATATTGACAGAAATAAACTATTCTTTTGTTCCTGTTTGACATTTACAGAAACAACTATTCACCGCAATGCAAGCGATAGGGGTGGATATTTACTTCACCGCTTCGCGGCTTGGTAAATATTCACAACCATTCATCTACACTTTGGCTAAATAACTGTAAATTACTCGATAATTAAGTCATAATTTAGCTGAATTCGGAAAGGTGCTCACAAGCGATGGGAAAGTTCAGGAGCTCAGAGCATCCGTTCTCTCTTGTAATGCTCTATCAAGACTCGCGTACACATCAGTGTTCACAGTATACACCGTAAACATTATGTGATAATATGAAACACTTAAAAACTGCACTTGAAGCCAGAACTTGAATAGGAAAAAACACTTTACAGCATAAAACTATTATAAAATTAATGATTAAGACATCTGGTGTCCCTTAATATTAAAGCAGTGTTTGTACCTATAGCAGGTCCTTTTCTGCGGACGAAATTTTTGCCTTTTAGCACTCATCGGCTCAGCATCAAGTGGAGAAGCATAAATATTCTCCTTTGAAACTACGTCATGCAATGCATATAGTTATACTCTCCACTCTATTTGTAAGTGAGACTATTCTCTGAAATTCTGACAGAATCCACTTTCCTAACAACTGACCGCATGATTCGATATTCCACATCTAATGTAACTTTGTCTACCAGTCTACATGCCTGATTAGAACGAAATGTTCTCAAGTGAACTTTACTGGTGAACGTTTGATAGTGGGAACGTCGAATTTGTCACTCTCATTGAGGACACATCTAATTCGGATCTTGAAGAGGGAATTACACGAAAATTAAGTATCTGGAATAAAGTTCTCTTAAATTCTGGGATTCTGAACGGATAAATTATCACGTTCACAAATGAATTGCTAAACTGTAAAAGTTTGATAATAAACACTGTTAACCCCATATGATGGAAATTTGCCATGACCTTCAATTCAAACAAAATGTTCATAATTTGAAAAGGAAGCCATGTTAAGAGTGATGTTGCTGTTATGAGAGCTAGTGTCTTCGCCAATTTCACTTCTCTTTTAATGTGATTCTGGTTGCGAAATGGCGTTTGTTGCTTCTTCCAAACAACAATGTTTGCTACACACGTAGTTAACAAAGGGATTCCACAAATTAAAGGAATAATGTAAGAGAGTTTCCTCCTTCCTATCATATCAAACTGCTGAAACACCATCAAAGTGGTAAACATTACCGCTATGATCCACGGCATGCTAATAGCGCAGATGTAAACATGGAAGTTTATAGTTCTGTGACGGAGAGGCCAACCAACGGCGAACATTCTCTCCAGGGAAATGACAGCGAGAGTGTAGATGGACGTTGTGCCTGTTAATACGTCGGCATCGATGGAAATCACGTACCATGCATATCCCTCCGATACCATTACTTTTAAAAAAAGTGGGATGGCCAAAATCCCAACCAACACATCGGCTATAGCTAAGCTAATGAGAAGAGAGAAAGCTCGCTTGTGACGTCTCTGCTTGAGGAATATCCAAATAGTGAGAACATTTCCTACAACGATCAAAGTCGCTAACGAAGCGAAACATGCTTTCCAGAAGATGTTCCATGAGTTGAAATCCATTCTGCCGGCAGCTGCTTTTCTTTTGACCTGTCAAGAAAACAAACCTTTACCATTGAAATCCAGTTAGAACGTATTTTACAAAGTCGAACAGCGACAACAAACATTCATGAAAGATGAATCGTTAATTTGAGTCGGGACAGGTGACACATCCATACAGGGAAAGTGGGGGGGGGGAAGGGGGATCCACTAGGGCAGATAGCGTACGGTCAGACTGCTGTAACATATATCGGTCTATAACTCGGCAAATCCAAGCTTATCCCCCTATAATTAATCGGAGGTCATTGGACATACAAAAAAAAATCAAAAGCCCTCTTTATTACAATTTTTACGATAGCTTATACAGGGTGAGTGACATGATTGTTGTGTGTTTTAACCGCTTCAGTGGCCCGGTGACGGCATGTTTGTGCCTGTGCGAATGATGAAACGACGCAAAAGCGAGACATCTGGGTTATTGTTAGGCTTTCAGAACCACTATGTCTTACAAAAGTAATAATCATAATAGAATACACCAACTAGTAAGTTTTGATGTTTTAAGAGTCTGCAACATTTTTTTAAAAAATTCAAAACACAATATGCAAATGATTAGGAAAACCCGTAATTAACGAACTTTGTGCTCGAAACAGACTTGATAGTAAAAAGTCTCTTGTTTCCCTTCCTTGTTTCACCGCAGAGATTTCTATAAAATTTTTACTTTTTGAAAATTTGTGCCACAGGTAGTTTCTTGTGATTTTTCTTTAGGCTTTTGGGCGGGAAAGTGGAGCGCGGCTGGCGTCAAAAACTGACTCATTTTGCACATGCCTTGCTTGTGGTCACTGTGTTGTTCCAAAGACCCTCCCAATCTATATTCTTGTACTTTTGCTCCAGGAAACATTAAAAAGATATTTTGAAGTTGATAACTGGCCTAAAGGCTTCTTTCGAAGAGGAACTTATTAACTGTTTTGCAGCTAGAATCTGAATTATAGTACTAACGACCTTCTGTTGCAAGAAAATAATTTAGAATTTTATCATTTATGCTTTATGTACTTTTTGTAGAAAGGCGAAGATGTAAAGTGCTCTGGATGTACTCTTGATTCTGGTTTCGCAGGGAACTGTTAAAGCTGACTAAAGGAAGAGGACGTCAATGAAATTGATTACTCTCTTAAAGTTGAACAAGCTGTTATTTCTACACAATAGTGCGTTCAAATACTAATTAATGCAGTGGCCAATAAAACATCGTGTTAAATTGTTGTTTTTTTTTCAGTTTGTCCAGCGATGGACTAGAGCTGGAGAAAGCTGTCTTCTGTTTTGGCCAATACGGTGTTTGGGTGGGTAGTTTAATTGTCTGAAGCTTTTATCTAAGGGGCTTAAAAAAATTTTCGAGAATTATGCCGAGAATAGAAGAAAATTACAAGTTGTTGCTAATATTCAGCACTATGAAGAAAAGTTTTTCCAGCAACCATTTTTTTGAGATTTGTTAAAACTAAACTTTAAAGGTGTCATCTTTGACATAGTGCCGTCTAGAAATCAAGTCAAAGAATTTTCCCGAAAGAATGATTTAAAGCCCCGTCCATACAAGAAATTTTTAAATGGCAGTTTTTAATTAACAAAGATTTAGTAATACATAGACAGGTAAAAACGACCGATATAATATCCCGACGTTTCGGCGACTTCATGACCCCATTATCAAGGGTACAAATGAAAATAAAATTAACAAATGCGAGTTCAAGAGTTACAACTAATTTGCATAGGGGAGGTAGCTACACAAATACTTTAGCACGGATAGAACACCAAGTTTGAACGTACAAACAGATAATATCCGTGCTAAAGTATTTGTGTAGCTACCTCCTCTACGCAAATTAGTTATAACTCTTGAACTCGCATTTCTTAATTTTATTTTCATTTGTACCCTTGATAATGGCGTCATGAAGTCGCCGAAACGTCGGGATATTATAACGGCAATTTTTAAGTGGCAACTTTTACTTGCCCGTGTAGATGATGAAAAATGGCCAATTTTTATGTGACAACTGCATTTGCTGAAAAGCTGGCGTGTTAGTTTTTATGTGGCAAATAAGAATTGCCACATAAAAAAATCGTCCGTGTAGACGAGACGCCACATAAAATGTGACAAACGCAACTAAAGCTGCAACACAGCTGGCACGTCTTCTGACTTTCGCCATCTTGCTTTTTTCCTTTCCATGAGCATCTCCGCTGTGCGAAATTATTACTGACGCAAATTAACAACAAATAGTTGTCGAGCCATCTACACGGGCAAATAAAAATTGCCACGTACAGTTGCCACAAAAATTTCTCGTGTAGACGGGGCTTTAGTTGTGCAAATAAAGCGGGCTGAAAAAGTGGTTCAACTGGTTCGAAAGTTTTTTTTTGTTTGTTTGTCAGTTTTTTCACCGACCAAGCAGAAGATTTAAATTTAACTCGGTGTACGTACAAACAGATGGTCGAAGCATTCGAAGAGATCTTAAATTCTTCGTATGGGTTCCAATTCTTCTTGCACAGGGGGAAACCAGCTACTCTGGACAATTCACAAGTATTGTTCAACCAAAATTTGACCGCATAAAAGGTTTTTATCTTTGTAGACTCCAACAAAATAAAAAGACCAGGGAAGAACACTTTTATTGTTCCTGTCTTTATAGCAAAGGAAAATTGAAACTTCACAGAATATGTATGAGGAAGCAAAACTAGGGACAAGGAAACTTGAGACTTTTCGAGCACAACTTATTACTATAAGACAGAGTCTACGAAAGACATACACAACGACAAAGATCATTTGCAAATCAATAATAACATAAAAATAATATAATAAAATAATATCATAACTCTCCAGCTCTCCGTAACACCAAACCATTTTCAAATGAACTTGCATCGGTCCTGATACTGCCCCGACTAACAAATCAACTATGGCCAGATGGATAATCAAGTGTGTACTCCGGCGCTGTAGCTGACGCTGCTTCACAAACACAATAATGGTGACGATTTTGAGGATGACTATGGCCAGACATTCAATACTGAGCGCAACAAGCCATAGAATACAGGAGGAGGCTGGGAGCGACCTCTGGTGCTCGAGGTTCGTGTATTGTGAGAAGCTTCACTGGAATTGGAAGCCATATAGTTTTACTGAAATTGACTCACCGCAAGCCCAATTATCTATACATAAATGAAAACAAAACTGTTTATTTAACGCATTCTGGGATAACGATTACCGTTCATCCTATTTCATTTTGCTAGAGTGTGGATGTATGTTATCCTGGCAATCGGAGAGATTTGCCCGATCTAAACCGACGAGTAATGCTAAACAATTGCAACAGACATTTTATAAAGAATAGAATTTTGTACGAACTAGTATCAAATGGTGGAAAATGAATGTGTTTAAAGTCAAATAGTTTAATTTCCGAAGCGAACATTAATGCCGCGAGCTTGCTCTATTCTCTTATAAAACACGGTACAATAAGCCAATCAGAATCCTTGTGAGAATGGTTCAACCAATCTGATTGGTTAAACAAGACTAAAGCCGTCAAAAATCTCAAACTGTCGAAGTTCGGAAACCATCAACGTCCATAATCTGTAATAGCGGGGCTTTCGCGCGTGTGGGGCAGAGCCCCCCATACCCATGGAATATGGTCAACCTCTTTTCATTTGGTTGTCACAAGACTGACCGAGCGTACGTACGTACGTATGTGCCTTCAGATTGCACGGGTAGGGTAGGGGAGACTATCAAAACGAAGGGAGGGGTGACTCAGGCGAGTCTCGGCAAAAGTACATCTTTTATGTTATCATTAATGCGAACTTAAGAGCTCCGCTTTTAGGCTTGGCTAATTCTATATATTAGTTCACAAAACTAGTTCGGCTGGTCAAACTTAACACCTTTGGCTGAAGTAGTTTGTTCTCAATAGGGAATCTGAGAGTGATGTGTTTAGTGAATTCCGGCAGAATTGTGGCTTATAAAACAAACAAGGCTCTTCTCGTGACAATTAGAAAACAAATTGCTTAAGGCGTGTGTTTTATGAATGGACTTCAGCATGATCGCGGTCGCTTTGACACCGTCATGCCTGATCTTTAACAGTTGTGCCAGTTTGGTTATTTTTCGTCATTCCTGTTTTGTTTTGCTTTTGAACACGAAACTATGTACAATATACGGATGTTAGCTGTGTAGGATTTTTATTTCCGTACGTAAGCTTACCATGGCGAAAACCTTCAAAACTCGGACTGTGTATATATCCGAACAGTCCGTGGTGATCCTAACATCTCGGAATCTTTAGGCTAAATTACATTTAAATTACCTACCTCTGGTGAGCACTGCATGATTTCCAAGTTCGGTGAAACAGGCAGAAGACTAGGTGACCGATTCCGAGAACACCTTCGAGACGTGGAAAGGAATGATAAGGACACATCTAAACCAGTCGCTAGACATTTTNCCAACCCTGCTCCCCCAAAGCTCCCTGCAAAGCTGAGATTTAGATTGTTAGCCCTTCGTTAGAAACAAAAATAGCACTCCTCTTTGAAAATCCACTCTCGGGCTCCCATCTTATTGCTTCAAGCAATCGGGAAAGCGAGTTTTATCAACGCTGCTACACTAGTTTCGGCCCAGTTTAATCTCTTATTCTGGGTTTTTCGAGGCGTAATCGCTTTCAAATTTTCCCGCCTCAGTGCATATGAATAACTAATTATGTCCAGCAATTCTGGGTGATGAACCCCCCTGGCCCTATAGCAATATTTTATCTACTGTAAGGATTTAAGTACTCAAAACTTTGGCTTATAAATACAGGCGTTTAGTCATACTCGTAGAACTCCCTGAAGAAGTCTACGACAGTTAGACGAAACGCGTAGGAAAACACAACAAGTTTTACAACTACTGTTCGCAGAAGTGCTGCTCACTAGTCTATAATTAAAAAATTGTAATAGTTACATAATGTTTTTTACCTATTACAAGTCTTTTTTGTCAACGATGCTTTTGCTCTTCTACTCTCATCGACTGCTCATCGACGGCTCTTCTACTCTCATTGACTGCTCATCGACGGCTCTTCTTCTCTCATTGACTGCTCATCGACGGCTCTTCTACTCTCATCGACTGCTCATCGACGGCTCTTCTACTCTCATTGACTGCTCATCGACAGCTCTTCTACTCTCATTGACTGCTCATCGACA